CTCCTCCTCCTCCTCCTCCTCCTCCTCGGGCATTTCACAAAGTAAACAGTCCCCAGCACCTGACAGCTTCCCTTGTAGGGAAAGGAAAGATGGTCCACAGCCTTGTCTCAAGAACTGGCAAGACCCACCCCCTCCCCACCGCCATGTGCCTGAGTGGTGGTGACGGCTGCTGCTGAGCGTCTGGGGATCTGAAAGTTTGGGGGGGACTCTGACTCTGGTAATTTTCAGCTCCTCCTGAGGTTCCCAAGTGCGTTGATGCCTAAGATTTCGCTCTATTCTTTTCTGCTACTGGAACAAAGCGTTTCTCTCCCACCAGCCCTGGGCTTTGTAAGGATGACGTGGGGACTTGGAGTTGAAAGCTCTTCACTGCCAAGTGGGCGTGTGAGTGCTGTGCCGCCCCCAGCCTGCAGCCCGTGGTGTGTGCCATAGTGTCTGTAGTGACTGGCTTACATCTTCTTTAGAGCCACCGGGAACGTTCCAGAGGCACCTGTGGGGTTTTGGACTGGGGTGGGGCAATGTCATTACAACCAAGATCGGGGACAATTAGACCAAGGTGTTCCGTGGTGACTCTGGCCATGCACCTCAACCTCAAATAGACTTGGCTTCCTGGTCTGTGACAGGAACCACAGCCTCTTTCTGGGTTGTCCTGTATATTAAGTGTGCCATCAGGTACATCGCAGGCATCCAGGGAGGAGGGCGCTGATCCTGAGTGTGATAACAGAACACCAGCCCTGGCAGTTTGCCCTGTGTCCTGTCTCAGTGTCCGCTCCTGGGTTTTCCCACAGCCCAGAGTCTGCTGAGTGGGGGTTCAGAGAGGATCATGGGATTGCTGTAGGTCTAAGGGCACCTCCTGGGCCAAACTCACTGATGCCCATGTCCGGGTTCAAAGGAGCAGCACTGGGCTGGAGGCTGGGGACAGGATGTTTAGGGCGCGATGCTATCCTGCCCGATGCCTCACTGCACCGTTTGTCTGAACTCAGAGAGCATGACCAAAAGCAGCCTGGAGGTAAAGGCCAGTTCTGGGGAGACAATGACGTGAAGAAGACTGAGTAGGGACGGGGAGGGGCGATAGGAACTAGCCCTACTCTACTCCATTTGCTGGGAAGCTTAACCCACTCTAAACAATGAAGTTTATTAAAAGGAGGGGGAGAAAAAGGAGCCGGAGGAGGAAGAAAAGGAAGAGGAGGAGGAGTCTGAAGTCAGCACCTCCTCCAGGGAGCCTTCCCTGACTGCTGCTCACCCCTGAAGGCAGGCAGACCTTCTCCCTGCAGAAATCTGTAGCCAGGCTCTCTTCTCCCATGGCCCCGCCCTTCCCTAGGCTGTTGGGCACTGCTTTCCAGCTTCTGGAGCAGCCTGCCCAAAGCCTCTAGGAGCAGGGATTGGGGTGCCTCCTGCCACACTGCCCAGAGAGGCCTGTCGGGGGCAGCAGTGCTGTCTTAAGGAGCTGCTTTCCTACTCCTTAGGAGAACAGGTGGGCTCGAGTAGGGATACACTGTGCCAGGCCCTTTCGCATACTCCGCTGTTGTGTCACTGCCTCTGTGTCTCACTGTGACAGCCTAGGACATGGGCTGCCATGTCAAGGCACAAGGCTTATGTGGGCATTCATGGTTACTCTTCCATTGCCCAGGATGCAGGTAGGGACCAGGGCGTGGGGTCACCTGTCCCCAGCTAGTGACTCAGTGGGCTGCTTGGGAGCAGGAGTTCTCAAACAATGCTCCTCCCTGGAGAGGCCTTCGCCTTCTCACAGTCCCCTCCCACCCCTCTCTTCTCCCCCATGTGATACTTCCCAGTGTACTGTGTGACTCACCACATAAGCCTTAAGTGGCTGTCACTCTCTGCCTCCGGAGATGGGTAAATCACGACTCAGACTCACTGGGAAGCTCAACGCTCTGAAAGACAATGGGCGCGTGTGCAGGTGGGGGAGTGTGGAGGTGTTGACAAGCGTGGGCCCGATGTAGCACATAGCCCTGTGACACGAGCCATGTGACCGTCACCAACTGGAACACCCACTGTATGTACTGTGACTCCCAGGAGACTGTGGGATGTGGTGCTGCTCAGGTGTATGAGGCAAAGATGGAGAGGAGCAGAGGGGAGCCTTCTGCCCAGGGAGGTGGAGGGAAGGGAGAGGAGGGTGGAGCCCAGAGGCTCTGCCACCCAGCAGTTGAGAAATGTGAGCCTTGGACACCTCCATCTTTCATAGGAGAGACAGGTGGGTTACAGAGTGTCTGGAAAATGGAAGATCCATGGAGCCCAACAGAAAATAACAAAACCATAAACAAACAAACAGCAAGTAGATGTGGTCAAAGCCTGCGGGGGCGGGGGGGTGGCAACAGGACTGGGGAAGCTGAAGTGAACTTAGCATGGTTGGGGGAGCCCCAGAACTTGATAAATGCCCAAGCCGCCCATGTGCACATCTGCTCAGGACCCCAACCCAGGCTTCGGGGCCAGCAGCCCGCCCAGGTGATTCCGTATGTATGGCTTGGGCTGAAGGCCTGGGATGAGGGTTTAGGCTGAGGGCCTCTGGCCTACAGCGGTGTCTGTAGCTCTTATAGGCCTCTGCCTTCTGGGGTGTCTTGTTAAAGTAAAGCTCTGAGCAGGGAGGTCTGGGGTAGGGGCTAGGCTCTTCCTGATGCAGCGATGCCATTGACACCATGACCCGTGGCACTGTGAGCTGCCAGCTTGGTAATCATGAGTAAAGTGCCCCTATATATCAGAGCCCTCAAGGAGCCTGCTAAGATGCAGCTTCCGTGTGCTGATGTGCCTAGACCTGCAAGCCACTATCTGTTATCTCATTAACCCAGGGGGCTAAAAGCCCCAGACTCAGGCTACAGTAGTCCAGTTTAAATAGCCTCTGGGGACCCCAGGGACACTTTTCAAGTCTTTCATTTTGATTTCTGTTTAATTGCCAGAGGGTTAACCACACTCCTTCCAAGGCCATCCTTGCAAAGGGCTGGGATTTCCCCACGGCATCCAACCTCATCTTTGGGGCCTTGGCTGAATACAGGCCACAGAAGGGCCACAGTCCTGACGTGATGTTACTGACTGTATCTGTTTCCAGTGGCCAGTGTCACACTTTGCCACAAGTCAGTGACTTCTAACAACTGAGATGTGTCCTGCCACTGTGCTGGAGGGAGAGGCCTGCAGTCAGCCTCACTGGGCTGAATCAAGGATGAGCCAGCTTCCAGTGGTGGCTGGCATTCCTCGGCTGTGGCCACATCCTCCCAAGTCCAGCATCTCTGTTCCTCTCTTTACCTAGCTTCCTCCAAATGTGGTCGAACCTCACTCTGCTCTATTATAAGGACACTGGGATTAGACTCAGGGCTCACCCTGCTAACCCAGGCTCACTACCCCACTCAACTCAGCACATCTGCAAAACCCTTTCTGGTTTTTGTTTTTTTTTTTCAAACAAGGTCCCATTCACAGGGTTCAGTAACTGGGATTCATTGCTTAGCATAGCTCTGGTCTCTCCTTCGGAGGGTAACTGAGCTTGAGTGTAGCCCAGTGGCCGGAACTGGGAGGGAGCCAGCAAGTGCTGTTGGCAGAGCGGCAGAGTGGCAGAGTGGAGTGGTCAAGGGCCTTTGTGGAGAATCTGACCCTCAGGGGGAAGTCAGGATTAGGATGTGGGGTATCACTTTAAAGCTTGGACAGCTTTAATGAGTCCCTATCAAGGGTGAACTTTCATTCATTCACTTCTTCACCCTCTTAGTCACCCACTCACTCATTAATTCATTTACTCATCATTCATTCACTCACACATCTACTTACCAGCATTGAACAGAATCGTGCATAATGGCTGTGAAGGGAAGAAGCCGGGCCTCCCCAGAACAAAGGTATGGCACACCTGGGCCCTAATCCCTTGCAGTTCCAGCATGTCCAGGGGGCATTGCTGGGTGTTTAGATTTTTTTTGGCATGCAGCCATTTGTGTCTTGTGCTTGGTATGACATCAAGCTCTGTTCCTGTAACTGCATTCTGCCCTCAGGCTGCCTCATCCAGTACTGACTTCCATTTCTTGCTTCTCTTTAATTCCAATTTCAAATGTCCCCTTTGAGCTTCTGCACACCAACATTTTTGGCATGTTTCTTGTGGATAGCACTTAACTGCATTTTCATTTTTACCCCTCTCACACAGGCCTTTGCTAGGAAAGACACTGGTGAAATGTGAAGTTGTTGTATCTCGTTTGATGCTTTGTTTCCTTAGACTGTGTCGCTCGTGCTGGTTTGGTCTCTTCTCTCGCCTTAATATTCTTTAGTGTATTAAAAAGAAATGGCAGCATGCCCCACAGAGCCAAAAAGCTTTCCGTTCCCTGCTCTCTCTCAAAGTGCCAAGTCAGACTTCCTTCCTTCCTTCTTCCCTCCCTCCCTCTCCCCCAGTCAGATGTAATCATAGAACGTTCCGACTTCTCTAAGAAAACATTGTATTTTTTAGTTTCCGGTTAAGGTGGACCTTTCGTGGGACATTGCAATTCATGTTCCAAGAATCCCCACTTGGCAGCTGAAACAGGAAGTCATTGGCATTGTCAGATTAGTGGTCATGGCTGGCCACTGCTTCCTGTTCCCAGTCCTGCTCTATCTAGTGGTCTCCACTGTGATTGTGCTGTTACAATCAGAAGGGCTTTGTGGCTATCTTTCTCTGAACAGAGGCTCAGCACAACTGCTTTTCTCTGTCTTGTCACGGTAGGTGTTCGTTGCGCCCTCACAGTGCCCATCATTGCCAGGGAGGGAGCCTTGATCATGACCACAGAGTGCCTGGACCTTGTTCCAAAGTCTCCCAGGGATCTGCTGTCACTCTGGTTCTCTTTCCTTCAGATGCGACCTATCCTTGCTGAAATCCAAGACTCCCTGTGTCCTTGAGGCTGGGGGCCCAGGGCAGCTGCAGCCTCCTCTTCATCTCCTCTTCGTCACGTGCTCCTTCCCTCCAGCTCCCTGTGGGGCTCCTGTTCGCTGCATGGAACTCCTCTTGGGATGTCTTTCAAATCTCCTCCTTCCCACTTTCCTCCTCTACCTTTTCCTCCTGCTCCAGCTCCAGCTCCTGTTCCTCCTCCTCCTGTTCCTCCTGTTCCTCCTCCTCCTCCTCCTCCTCCTCATCCTCCTCCTCTTCCTCCTCTTTTTGGTGTATGTGTATATTGTGATATATATTTGGGACATGTATGATGTATGTGCTTGTGTGTGGGTGTGCATGCCTTTGTGTGAGCAGAGGCCAGAGGAGGACATCAGGTGTCCTGCTCTAACTGTCTGTCTTACTCCCTTTGAAACAATGTCACCCACTGAACCTGGGGCTGGGTTGGTGGCCAGCAACCTCCAGGGATGCTCCTATCCCCGTCCCTGACAGAGCTGGGTCACAGGCAAACCCGTGGCCACACCCAGCCTTTTACTTGGGTGCTGGGAGTTCACACTCAGGTCCTCGTGCTTGCACACACGCTCTTGCCCACTGAGCCATCTCCCCAGCCCTAAGTCTTTTCTTCTTGTATATGGTTCGTGTTTCTCCTCCACATTGGATAATGTCTGCTCTCCAAGTCATGTTCTACTCTGATACTTTGCCCTCGCCCCAACTGTTCCTTTTGAATTTACCCATAATTTTGTTAGTTTCAGCTCCACGGAGAAGACTGCACCGTTGCTTTGCCCTGAGGCTCTGTGAGCAGTGAGGTGCATTTTTGTTGAATTTTCTCTTCCCTTAGCCCCACAAATTGTTCTGTCTGTCCTCTTCTGGTGCTTGCCCTGTTTTGGCAGAGGGTCTGCAAGGTGTCAGCCTCTATGGGACAGTGTGTGCAACATCATGAGGGCCAGGCTGTGACACCCTGGACAGTGACCAGTCAGCAAAGGTGGATCCCAGGTCATACATGCTTCAGAGACAACAAAGAATGAGTTGGCAAAGTTAGGTGGCATTGCTGGAGCAGGCCTCTCTGTGCTCAGCCTCGTAAGTGTGAACAGGGTGGCTCTCGGAATGGCTGAGCCCCAGTCTTCTGGAGGGGAGGTGGCTGGGGTAAAAGTTGAAAGAAACTCAAAAAATTGTTTTTTCAAGAGACTTTAAATGCTCAAGAGGTAACTGGGAAGCAAATGTTTCACACGGGAAAAAAAAAAGTGTGGAGACATTCAGCTTTTGGGTGTGAGCTTGAGATGTGGTTTGTCCCTCTAAGCTGAAGGTGGAATGGGAAGGGGTGGTGGGTGGGCGCTGAGTCAGAGGAGGGAGAGGCTCCGGTGCTCGTTGCACAGTAAGGGAGCCGTACATGATGGTGCTATGCTGTGTGTCTCAGAAAATAGAAGGAGTTTGACCAAAGACTTGACCTTGATTTAAATGTTATACTCTGTGCGTGCACCCGCGTGTGTGTGTGTGTGTGTGTGTGTGTGTGTGTGTGTGTGTGTGCATGTATGCATGCGTGTGTGTTCCTCACACGTTACGGGTATACCTGTACAACTTATGTTTTTATGCGTCAGTCAAAGATACATTTAGCAGTAGAAGAAAAAGACAGCTGTTTCCCGCTGTGTTGTGTTTAGAGGAGGCAGGGACTTTAAGAGGTGATTAGGTCACTAAGGGGGGCTGATGTCCTTTTGCGGTGTGCACTAATTACTGATAAGCGGTTTGTTACTACTGAGCAGGTTACGAAGTGTGGACCCCTTGTGTCTTCCAATGTCGCCTGTCCTTCTGCTTCTCAGCATGTGACAAGGTCCTCCCCAGTGCAGCTGCCTGATCTGGTTGTCCCCCACCATCAGAACAATGAGCCAAATAAACTTTCCTCTGAAAATTACCAGTCTCAGACACTTTGTCATAGCAACAGCAAATGCATTAAGACAATTAGTTACCATGGAAATTCAAATTGCTACTGCAGGGGCCATTTTTCATTTTCCATATTGGGAGTCTTTTTTAAATGTCATTCCCTAAGCAGCGTGTGCTGGAACAACTTCAAGAGACTTCCATGTAGGTCTGAAAACGTCATTGAGATCCAGTGCTCCTGCCTCCTGAGCTTGACCCCTGGGGAACAGGCCCCTCTCACAGAGTATTCAATGAACTCTGGAAGTCCTTTCTCAAGCACATGCAGAAGCCTGGAGTGTTGACCAAAGCCTTTAGCCCTAGCACTGAGGAGGCAGAGGCAGGTGGATGACCAAGTTCCGGGCCAGCATAGTCTACATAGTGAGTTCCAGGCCAGCAAGGGCTACATAGTGAGACTCTGTTTCAAATAAAATAAAATGCGTGCACACCCCAAAGTGGGAGTAGTGATAGTGGGTGTGGCTTGTTTCCACTTTTTGTGATTCCTCTAATTTTCTGCACATAGACTATCAGAAGGGGGAGCGAGTTCTGGGTGACTTTGAACAAATGAATGAGCCTCAGTTTTTGTCAGTAAAAATGAGCCTAATGCCACCTGCCTCCGTGGTCCTTAGGGTTGAAATGAAAACCCCCCACTTGTATGAAAGACCTACATGTGGAGCCTGGGCAAAGCCACTCCGGTAGCAGGTGCTTTCTTCTTCCTCGGGTTGACCTGAGAAGATGAGACCGCGCAGCTGGAGAATCGAAGGAAGTAACAAGGGAGCTGCAGATTTTGCAAAGCCCCAGTGGGCGGAGCCCGGGTCCAAAGCCCCCTGGAATGTCCCAGCCTTACAGGTTGGCAATGCCCTCCCCATCGGCCGCTCTGAAAGCAGTTTCTGCGGACAACCTAGGACAGGTATCCACAGGGGGTGTGCCACCGAGAGCTGGAACCAGGGGTGCTGGAACAGGACCTTGGCCCTCAACTCCAAACCACACTTCTCAGACACCCCAGGGAGCCAAAAGAAGGGGGTCTTCCAGTTGCTTGAGCCTGGCGTTACCATCTGGACTAATTTTACTTGGGAACGATCCCCATACCTACCTCCTGAAAAGCGTGCTTCTCTGAATTTGACTTTGAGCCTTTAAAGCAGTACTTGGTGACACCTGCACACTTACACACAGGCTACACTTTTCCGTCCTGGCTGTTATACCAGGGAGCTACCTGAACTAAGGCGTCTGGCCCATGGCTCGCGCCTTCAGTATTACAGTAGCCAGGGTCACCATCCTGAAATCTGAAGGTGGGGACCCAGGGCGCAGTGGCGGGTGAGAGGTGGCACGAGTGTCGCCCGTGGGTGCAACCACCTGTTGTTACTCAGCAGGCTCCGCAGCCCGAGTCGGAGACGGGAAGTCCTGGAGGCGGGGCGGCAAGGGGGCGGGACAGGGTCCAGTCCACTCGGACGCTTTCGCCGTGGGCTGGTCGGACCCGCCTTCCCGGCGCCATCCGTCCCCAAGGCTCCGGGAGAAGCCGCAGCAGCAGGCGAGGCGCGCCACCATTGGCGGAGGTGCGCGGTGATTGGCTGGCGCGGCGGCCGCTCAGCGAGTCGAGGTCCCCGGGACGCAACGGGAGTGGAGGACGGCAGAGGCCCCGCCCTTCGCCCGCCCCCTGGCCAGGGCCGCCTTCCCGGGCGTAGGGCTCCGCGGGCCCCAGCTCTCCCCGCGGCTCCCGGGCAACTTTGCTGCGCGCCGGGGAGGCCCAGCATCGCGGCCGGTGAGTGCTTCTGTGGGGACCCGGCGCGCAGGGGTCATGCGTGCGCAGGGCCTGGGGAGGGTCCTGAGCGCGGGGAGGCGGCCGCCGGCCGCGGGCCTTGGTATACCCTGATGGGTAGCCCGGGCCCCAAGTCCGCTCCAAGTTGCCAGAAGTTGGGGGGCCGGGGGTCTCGCAGCCCCGCGGAGCCCGAGACGCCCCCTGCCCTGGCCGGGTGCAGACTTCCCGGGCCGCGCGCCCTTCGCCCAGCCATCCCCGGAGCCCGTGGATCGCCCGCACCCGCCTCCAAGCCTCCCCACTGCGGTGGCACAAGGGTCCCCGGTGGCTCGTGGGCTGGGGGTCGCGGACGGCAGGGGCGTCCCCTCTCCGTGGCTCCCAGGACCGGCGCATTCTCCCGGAGCTGCCCCGTCATGCCCTTCCCTCGCCATCGGACCGGATCGCTGGGGGTGGGGTGGGGGGGGGCCGTCCATGGGAGATCAGTCCACCTAGGAACCCTATGACTGTTCCTCTTCCCCTCCGGGTCCACATAGAGGACAGAGGCAGTCCCTGGTGTGACCCATCCTGGTGGGAACCAGCTGTGATGTGCCCCCAGCTCCATACACACAGAGCTCTTGGAGAACTGTTTGGAGTCCTGACTGGAAACCTCTTGGAGACGCTCTTCTGGGTGTGATGGAGCTGCATACTTTCACCGAGTTTTCTGTTAGTTGATGTTATTAGAGTCCAAGGAGCTAACATTTGAGTTCCTTGAAACTGTCTCCCCTTTCACCCCCCCGACTCCATTAGTCCCAGGGGTAGGAATTACATTTTCCATTTGACCTGGGAGCACTGAGGCTCAGTAGACTTGGGGCGTGTCCAGGACCGTGCAGCTAATGGACAGAGCCCATGTTAAACCTTGGTCCCCACCCAGCAAGTGCAGTTCAGACTCCCTCACCTTGGACAATGACCCCTGGTGATTGGCTGGGGCTTTCCATTCCCTAGGATCCATCCCTACTAGCTCAGAGCTGTGCTCTAGGCCCTGGCAGCCCCTGGAAGGCGCCCCCAGCACAAGGGCCCCACTTCCCATCCTCCCCACCTGCTGACCTCTGTCTTCAAAGGAAAAATGTTCTATTACCTTTGTGTTCTAGTACCTTCCTGCATGTTCTCTAGACCTCTCCAGACAGAGGACTGGCTGGAGATGTCCCCTCGCCTTCTCTCTGATGAGAACTCCCCAGCTCCGGCTTCTCCTAACCCTTCCCAGGGACCGGGGCTGACCACAGAGGGTACCCAGCTCAGTCTTGGCCCCAGAAATGCCTACACTGTGTGACAGATGCCAAACATGCCCTTGTCTCTAACAGTGACAGAGGTGACAATGGGTAGGTTGCTTTTGTCCGTGACAGTGACAGGGAGACCATGGGTAGGTTGCTCTGTGCTCTGGGCAACCCCTTCCTCCTTCCTCAGGGAGGGGACTGCAGCCACCCCAGCCACAAGCCAGCATGCTCCTGTACCCTTGCTTCTTGGTCCAGTCGTGAATTCTATCTTTCTTGGCTTCCCAGATACCTCATGCCTGCCCTGGTCCAGGCCCCTCATCTGCCTGGATAGCCCCCAGCCTCCCCCATAGTCTTCCTGATCTGACCCTGACTCCAAGCACCCCCAATGGTTCTTACAGTCCCCTTTCCTCTGGCCTATGCACCAGGATCATCTCCTAGCCCAGCATTCACTCAAGCCCTGGGAACCAATATATATCTGTCTCCTCCCTGCTTCCCATCCCCTGGTTATAGGCACATCTGCTGCTGGAAGTCTTGTGTTGCCCCCGCCCCCCCGGCCCTGCTTGTCCTGAAGGCTCTTACAGAGACCCTAGCCTGGCCCTTCTCTGGTTGAATGAAGGTTCCTCTGTCCCCTGTGTCTCCGTGCCTTCTCTGTCTCTGGCTAAGTACCACATTTCTTAAGACTGAGCTGTTCAAAGACTGGAGCATCCTCTCTTGGACAGTCCCCAGCATGAGCTAGGCCTCAGTCCAGCCTCCTGACCCACACAGATGCTGGACTGTGGCTGTCCACGATTGGAGCCCCAATCCTTCCCAGTCCACGCCCCCTTTTGCTCCTGTGAACTTATCACACCGGGAGACCTAGACTGTTCCTTGGTTTGGACTTAATACTCTGGGCAAAAATAGGTACCTGGGAGCCACCAAGGGCTTTGTGCCCTTGTCTTGAGGCATAGCCCTGTGCCAGAGAGCTGGGTCGGGCCAGGCCAGAGTAGACACTGTAGGCCAGGGGCCTACTGGGCCCAGTTCCTGGGGCTCAGGCACAGGTGGGTTTTTAAATAACACTTTGCTTTAATTCCCCAAACTTTTCACATCCATTATAGAAAATTAAGAAAATAAGTTTTTAAAGGCTAAAATAAAGTCACCCATAACCCTTACCCAGAGTATTGGGGCAGGGGCATTTTTCTTCCATCCTTTTTCTTCAGATAAATTTTGTTTTCATTCTAAATAGAGCAGGGATGATAACCTATTCTGATTAATTCCTGCTTAACAGTGTTATACATTGTTTCTGTCTTTTAACCTTTGTAAAAAAGATGATGGTTAATAGCTGCAGTGGACATTATGTGGGGGTGGAGGGTTCCATCACAGGGCTTTCTGGATCCCAGTGTGTCACTGTGGGAGACGTCTGTGTGTATAAACCCTGAAGGTTTCTCCTCCCATGAGTCCTTTGAGGAGGTGGAGACGCTGGCCATCTTGGCTTGGGGGGGTGCATTTCTAAGGACCCTCAGAGGGTGGTGCTGTCTCCTGCAGAACAGAATGGGGCTGGCCTGGAGAATTAGAGCCTTCTGGCTAACCTCTGTGTAGTTCTGTCTCCCTAGGCCTCTATAGAGCTGTCAGGCAGCCCTTTCTGGGTGGCCCTCTCTGGGGGTGGCCGCTCCTCAGCCTGGCCCCTTGATGCTGGCATTTATGTTTAGATGGGCTAAAAATATGTTTTGGTGTTCACAGAGAAAGAATGCCAGCCACTCTGTGTTTGGGGATCTTACACCATGATGGGTTCCAAGCCACCACTGTGGCCAGAGTGGAGCTGGGGGCAGGGCTGGGTGACAGGGCTCTGGTTCTACAGCCGGGGATTCCTAGCCTTGGGGAGAGATGTGCCTAAGCTCACCCAACCACATCAGCTTCCAGCTGCTGTCCTACAGCAGGTTTCAGCCTAGTACTTCAGCCCCTAGTGTATGCCCTGAGGTACATCCCTGTCTTCATGGCAACACGAGGCAGAGAAGGAAGGCATGGTCACCAGGCAGGTCCTCCCCTCCGTGTCCAGGTCTCCACAGGCTCGTCTGATTCTGGTCATCCCTGTGGTCAACAATGCCAGAAATCATTTGTTTTGAAATAACAAGCTCTTTGATCCAAACTAGGCTTGGCCAGCTCTCCGGAAGCTGAGACTTAATTCTCTCCCATCCATCCTGTCTTACTTACAGATTTCTTTGAATAGTTCTACTCTGACTGCAGGGTACTACACCCAGGAGCCAGCCAGAGCCTGTTTCCCTGACATTTTATTTCCTTTCATAAGATGTTTTGCACATGTAGGAAAGTTACCACTCAGGGTTGTATGTGTGGGTGGGTGGGTGGGTGCGTGTTCCTGTGTGTGCATGTGAATGCGTGTGCATGTGGAAGTCAGAGGTCAACCTCAGGCATTGTTCCTCAGTCACCATCCACCTTGTTTTTTGAGACAGGGGCTCTCACTGGCCTGGAGCTTACCAAGTGTAGTGTAGGCTGGCTGGCTAGTGAGCTCCAGGGATCTGCCTGTCTCTGCCTACCTAGAGTTGGAATAACAGGAATACACCACAGCTACCCTCCAGCTTGGTTATGTGGAGGGTTTGAACTCAGATCTTTGTGCTTGCGTGGCACATATTTTACCAACTCAACCGTCATTCCAGTGCCCACTTAGGTTTTTTTTTTTTTTTTTTTTTTTTTTTTTTAATGCTCTACAATTTGCAGGTGGCTTTCTCTTCTACCACTGATGTAGATGCTGTTGTCCCCACTGGATAGGTAGGAAAACTGATGCAGGGAGTTTACCTGTGATGATGAAGTGGTGTCCAATTGTCAGGAAGCTGCTTTCCTCCCCCTACAGATGACAGAGGGCTGCACGGAGCCCGAGAGAGCTGGTGTTTACCTAGGTCCTCGGGGAGATAGCCAGAACACTCCGACTGCAGTTGAAGGCTGGGGGGTTTTCTCCTGGCAGCCTGGGTGATGGAGATGGTGGTGGTGGTAGGGCTCCAGGGAGGAGGGCAATTTGGGGTACAGGTGTGGTGGCAACAATTGGTGTCATGGAAAGACAGCCATTATCTGGTACTGTGAAAGCACAGCCAGTGTGTTGGTGGAGGGACCCTGGAGAGGTGTAGGGTGTACAAAGCGTTCAGCATTGTGCTGGGTGACATTTGGGGATCATAGAAGTGGATTTGAACCCTGCCTCGGCCTGAGAACTGTTTGCTCCTCTATCTTGCCGGACCTCAGTGTCAGGTCTGTGAGACGGGCAAGGGTTGAAGGGTCCATGACCTAGGATAGTGTGTTTTTTCCTGCTGGGCCCTGTGAGCCCACGGGACATGCATGTGAGGACCGGGCAGAGCTCTTGCTGGATGACAGGCATTCTGCTATAAGTCTCGGGGAAGCTGCCCTCTGCCTTTTTTGACAGTAGCACCTGTTTTGTGGCAGTCAAGACATGAGGAAGTGGCTGTCATGTGACCCTTCTAGAGTCTGAGGTAATCTGGTGACCTGTCTGATGGGCTCTGTGTGCCGAGACCCCAGCCCTTTATCTTAGCCCACCCCAAGGACTCCGTGTGTCTCCTTGTGTGTGTGAATCTGAAGGCTTACATGAATCTGCGTGTCCCTGTGGGTCCCCAGGCCCACATGGGTCTATCTATCTGTTCCCATGTGTAGTTATCCTGTGGGTCTGTGTCCCCCACAAGGGTCTGCACACCCCCACAAGGATGCACATACAGTTAGCTGACAGGTTTGCAGGCACTGCCATTCTGGGAAGCCTGAACCGAGCCCTGTGCTGATTTCCAAGCAGATTCACGAGGCTTGGCCATGTTTTTGGTCTTAAATATCCCTAGGGAATGTTTTAAAATAAGGGCTCAAAAAACATAAATAAGAAAGTAAATTAAATTAAGGGTCAACCCTGCGAGGGAGGAACGTTAGATTGAAATCTGCTTTGCTCCTTGGCTCCCATCTGTGGGACCTGTTTGTAGCTGGGGGTAGAACAGAAATGGAAGAGTCTGCGAGTAGCGTGTGGACCTGGGTCTGTTTCTGACTTCTCCAGTGACACAGTGTGAACAGGTCTCCACCAGGTAGCCACTTGGGCCAGGATCAGAGCTGGGGCCTAAAACCCTGTCCCCCTTGCAACTTAGTCTTGGGTCTTCTGTCCTCCCAGTCACCCTGAACATGAAGTGATAACTCTAGTTCCAGATGAGGATGCTGAGGTGGGGAGAGACAGGACCACACAACTAGTGGCCCAGGACCAAGAAATCTTTCTTAAGCCCCAACTTCCTGATGGACAGCCTCACTAGCCTGTTTTGTCAAAGGTGGCTCGAAGATGAAGAAGGTAGACATGGACTAGAGTTTGGAGAGGGTCATTTGGGAATCTGCAGAACAGTCTCCCCATACCCCACAGTGTGCAGGGGATTCAGCAGTATTAGGGTCTGAGTCCCCCAAAGCCTCTCCAAGCATCAGATCCCCCAGGGTCTGTGTGCTCATGGCTGCCTTAATTACCATGACATGTTGTTTTCCATGTTGCTAAGCAGCACAGAATGCCCTTTTGCTGACTGGTCAAGCTCTTTCCCCTTGACCTACCCTGTGTCCCACACTGACTGCTCTCCAAGCTATTCTAGAAATCTCTTCTTTCATCACCCGTTTTGTGTGCTAATATGCCTTAATAGCTGGGGTGTAAGGTCCTGTGACTTCTGTCCTGTGACTGGAAGGTGGGCCCTAGAGCTGCTTTCCAATTCTGATTCACCAGTTGTACCCTCCCCAGCATTTGTTTAACCTGAACCCTCTAGCAGGGTGTTACTTTCTCTTTTTAAAATATTTCATTTATTTATTTATTTATTTATTATTTATTTTGGTCTCTTTGAGACAGGGTCTCCTTATAGCCCCAGGTGTCCTGGAACTCACTATGTAGACCAGGCTGGCCTCGAACTCACAAAGATCCACCTGCTTTTGCCTCCCAAGTGCTAGGATTAAAGGCGTGCACCACCATGCCTGGCTATTATTATTATTTTTATGTGTAGGAGTGTATTGCTTGCATGTTTGTGTGTGCAACCGTGTCATGCAATGCCTATGGAAGTCAGAAGAGGGTGTCAGATCCCCTGGAACTGGAGTTATGAGTTGTTATCTGCCATGTGGGTACTGGGAACCAAAACCTAATCCTCTGCAAGAGCAGCCAGTGCTCTAACTGCTGAGCCATCTCTCCAGCCCCAGGGTGTTACTCTCTTACAGATCCCACTGTAAGCCAGTGTCTTAACCAAGTATTATTGTCTGCAGTGTTGGAAGCAGGCTGAAGTCAAGGTGTGGCCAGGCCTTGTCCCTCTGGAGACTGCAGGTCACTCCTACCTCTTTAGCTCCTGGGTGGTCAGCAGGTCCTTGGTATGGTGCCTTGCAGTTGTGTTACCTCAGCCTCTGGCCCATCTTCATGTGGCCTCCACAAGTTGTATCTGTGTCTCTCTCTTACAAGGACACCTGTCATTGAACTTAGGGCCACTGTAAGCCAGTGTGGACTTATGGTAAGACCCTCCCTCATTCAAAGAGCTTCAGCTCAGTTACATCTACAGAGACCTGTCTTTCCAGATAACGTCACCTTCACAGATGCTGGGTGACTTGTATAGGTTCCCATTGGAGCCCTCCTGGTCAGGCCCAGTGTTCAGTGCACCCCATTTCTCAGATGAGGGCATGCAAGCCCGAGGTCACCTGGCTTGACCTGGTGGGATAGAGATTCAAGGCCCAAGATGTCGGGCCAGACCTGGAGATTGATGTACAGGGTACTGAGCTATGGATTTGATGAGTAGTGTCCAGGCTGGGTGGCCCTGTGGGGGGTCAAGGTAAGTGAGGTCCCAGAGGTTAGCTGCTCACACCCAACTCTCTGCCTCATCAGTAGGCTGGTTTGGGGACCTTTGTGTGTGTGACGAGACCTTCCTCTTTGCTTACAGGCAAGATGGACTCCGGCACCCCACCTCCTAGCCCCTCTGGCCCACCACTTCCATCTATGACGCAGCCCCAAGTCCGGTCTCGGCTCAATGCCACCGCCTCGCTGGAGCAGGAGAGGAGCGATGTGCCTAGAGTTTCCAGACCCCAGACTGACCCCAACCTTGGACCAAGTGCTGGGGAAGCAGCTGCCCCGATGGAGCCTCAGGTCACACACACACAGACCCGAGAAGGAGCCGGCCGAGCTGGTAAGAAGGCAGGACCAGGAATCCTTGTGGTTGGTCCCCAGCCCACAACTGCTTAGAGAAGCAGGTGGGCACGTAGCCCAGGGACCTAGAGGGACTCCTAGAGTTGGGACTGTAACACCCAAAGCTGGTGTCAGCTGTGCGGCCACCCTTCCCTGAGTCTTTCCCCTTTTCCTGGTGCACCAGCCTCATTTCCAAGGTGGGCCATAGGCCCTGAGAGGCTCACAGTAGAGCCTGCCTACTCCCCAACCCTGCTCGGACCCCCAGTTCTAAGAGTGACCTGGGTATTCATTGAAAACCCTATTTCTTATCTTGGGGATTGTCACCTACTCTCCAGAGTCATTCTGCACCCTGCCCCAGATTGGCCCCCATGCTTCCCCACCTCCCCTTTGGCCACGAGGAACATCTGTCCTGAACTGCCCCTTCCTTCATCCCACACATTAGCATGCCACTTCCTCATAAGCTCTCCTGTCTCTGGCACTTTCCAATCTTGATCCACAGGAGGGACCACGTATTTCTCTGCTACCTGCTACAGAGCTGATAGGAATGAAAGTTTCCAAAGTGGTTTATGCTTCAGCAAGCTGTTCTCTGTCTGGCTTCTTTTTAAAAAAATATTTTACTTATTTGTTTTTTAATATTTTGTGTATGAGTATATTGCCTACGTGTATGTAAGTACACCCATATTGTACAATACCTGCAGAGATCATAAGAGGGTGTCAGATCCCCTGGAACTGGAGTTACGGACAGTTGTTAGCCACCATGTAGGTGCTGGAAGTCGAACCCAGGTCCTCTGCAAGAGCAGCCAGTGCTCTTAACCGCTGAGCCATCTCTCCAGCTCCTGGCTTCTTAATTTAAAAACAATTGCCACTTTGGGAGCAGTTAAGTTGGCCTCATGACCCTCTGCTGGGTGAAAACTAAGCCTCCGGAACAGGTCCTACTCAGGCCTCTGGCTTAGAATTTTCCTGGGACATGGTGGGTAGTGTGAGGGATGCGGGTTTAGAGTGTGGCGCTCCTTGCCTTGCAGGGCCTGGCTGGTGCGATCACACTGGGGCTTGTTGGCCTCTGGTCTCCCTGGATGTGTCTGCACTGGGCAGTAGCTGGGTTTGGCTCTCTGCTGTCCTTTCTGGGTTCTCGAACCAGTGCTGGTTCTCACAGTACAGGCTCCTTCCTGTAACTGTCAGGCAACGAGTGTCCTCCCCTGTACACGGTGCGGGGGGGCAACACTGTGTGACACAGTTGAGGCCACTGGAAGGCCTTGAGCACCAGGAATAGCATCAGCAAAGGTTAGAGGCCAGGAACACAGGTCAGGGTTGGGCCTGTGGGGAACCTCGGGGTCAGTGACAGGAACTTATCAGAAAGGAGCACCAAGGGCCATGTATGGAGAATGGACTTGGCCCTTCGTGACCTGGGAGGACATGCTGGTGGTCCTCATGATGATCATGATGGTCACTGACTAGCAGTGACTTGAGCCCCGGACCTTGTGCATCTGGCACGTCCCCTCTGGTTAGTTCTGTTGCCCTGACACTTGTATACACTTCAGTTTTGTTTGAGACAGTGCCCCAGTGCATGGAGTCCTCTGCTGGGCTTGACTGAGCCTCCCGGGACAGCAGGTCACAGAAGGAGATCTGTATCTTTGGGGATGAAACAGGCTTTGAGTGGTGGCCTCGCTTCCAGATTGTTTATCTGCCCCAGGGAAGTCTATGGTGCCCCGTGATTTGTGGAGGGGACACTTCTGTGGGCCTCCACTACTGCCAGATAGGTGCTGAAACCCCCTCACTACACATGACACACCACACACAACTGGGTGGTAGGTATGACTGACGGGTCCTACCCCCAATCCTGGTTGTCACCTAGTTCTGGCTCTTGGCATTTTCTATTTCCCCCCAGGAAATGACAGAGTCCAGCAGCCTCAATGACCACCCCAACCCAGCAGTGTTTCCACCCAGACCAGTGGTGCCCACCTGCTATGTACCACCATGCACCAGCCTATCCACAGGCCAAGTCCTGACTGCTCTCAGCAGGCCCGTGTGAGGAACTCGGTGCCTGGCCCAAGGACCACTTCTTTTGTCCTGTCTTACCATGGCTGTCTCCCTGGCAGAGCCAGAGGGTTTCTGGCCCTGGTCGGCCATGGGCTGAGGCTTCCTGGCAGCTAACGCTGACCAGCCCACCTCACCCTCAGCACCTTGCTCTGTGCATTTCCTTAAAAGATCACTGTGTTCTTCAGCTTTGCCTCCAAGGCAGACCAGGCCTGACCCCTATCTGGGCCCATCTCCATGTGTACCCCTATTCTCTGATACTGGTGACTACAGGGCCAGAGGCCATGGCCAGAAGGCTGGATCTCAATCTGGGTAACTCAGGAAGACCCGAGACTGTGGGTTTCAGATGTCGTGAGGAAGCAGAGGTGGGCTGTGTGTGGTCTGCCTCCCATGGCACTGGGAAGAGCCAGCCAGATGAGTTGGCAGCCTGGAGGTCCCACCCCTTAATGGCCACGCTGCATCTCTCTCTGTCCCTGATCTGAGACGATAGGTCCACCCTGCTGGCAGGGACAGCAGGACATAGAGCACCTACCAGCGAGAGTTCAGCTAAATAGCTCACCTGTCCACAGGTGAAGCAAGCATCTGTCAAAATGCCAACATGTAAGTACAGCACAGGAGTTTAAATAGCACCGCCAGCCCCACCCAGCTGGACGCCACTTAAAGCCTCTGACTGCATTAGTCTTCGCCCCCACTGAAACCCCGGGAGGTGAGCACTGTTGACATCTCGCTCAGATGAGGAGGCTGAGGACCCAGGACCCCCAGCTGGGCGGGGGGGGGGCAGGAAGCAGGACTTTGTGAATTCGTATTTATCAGATGGGCCACTGGGAGCCAGGGACAGACCACACGCTGTGTCCTGGTGCCTTGGCTCCCTCTGTTGCAAAGTCTCAGAAGTACCTGGAGCCAGTTGCCTGTCCCCAGAGTAGGGTCTGCCGGGCTCTGGTGAGAGAGGGGCCAAGACTCAGGACTGCCTTCTAGGACTCTTTTAAGGCAAGTGAGGTACAGGAATAAATGAATGATTGTGTCCTTGGGGTTAAGCCCAGGGTTGCAGACTTTGATTGTAGCTCCTCAGGGCACCTGGAGTGGCCTGCCCATTCCTCGGGCATCAGAAGTGTGCCCTGAGGGCTCCCTGGAGGAGGCATCTGATCTGCCTTTTGACACCTGGGACTTGGAGCAGAGCACTTCCGGGGTCCCTTTTCTCTGGCTGTCTCCCAGGCTGCCTCCCAGGTTCCCTCCTGGACCCACAATAGAACCTTGCACTCATGCTTCTGGTCTGGGTCCTGGTCCTAGCAGGTCACCCACACATGGGAAACTGCTGCTGATGGTCAGGACTGGGAAACTTGGATGCTCTTGAGGCCAGACAGGAAAGGAGACCAGGGATGCGGGCTGGCAGCAAAGCCACCGGGAGTCGTGTGGCTCTGGGGGAGCTGTGGGGTTTGCTGAACACTGAAATGGACCCATTCTGAGTTTTGCCCCAGCAGCACTGCCCAGGCCACAAGCAGGTTGTCTCTAGCCGTGCCCAGCCAGCCCTAAGGGGCTCATGATGGCATAGCCCATAGGAGCCAGAGGAGCCCAACCCTTCCTCACAGGTATCCCTGGCTTCAGGCCCAAGGGTCCTGTCACTCTACTCAACAGAAGTTCAAAGCCTTGTCTTAGTGGCCCAGGCAGCCGTGGTGACACAGTGGGTAAGGGTCGGGTGGGGGAACACTCAGTCTGATCTGCTGACACTGACTGCCAGAGACTTATGGACTAGGATGTTGCACAGGCTGCTGGCCAAGTAGGAGGAAGGAAACCAGGAAACGCTGTGCAGATCGGCAGCCCTGGCTGGGTGCACATTGGTCAAGCATGGGGCTCTGGCATTAGACAGCCTCCGTCCCAGCCTGGCTGTAGCCATTGTCCCCGTTGGGTCTCTCAAGCCTCTTGGCCTCAGAGGGCTCTTTAGTAGAACTGACACTGGTTGGGCACGAGGGGCAAATACAGATGTGGGTTTGGGGCAAGGGGCTGACCCCTGATGACCTGGGTACAGGTCACAACACTAAACCACAGTGCTGGCAGGTTAAGAAACAACTTTGAAGCCACTCTTCCTCCTGGCTCAGGTGCTGGAGTGTGCTGTGACTGTGCTGTTAGCTGTGCTGTGGTGAGGCTCCAAGGACAGTTTCCGAGTCTTGGAAAGTTGGCCATGTGCCTTTGTTTGTTACTTTAGCTTCTAATTGCATTCCAGGCCTCTAATGTCAGCCTCTCCAGGAAGCCTCCCCGCCAGGGCTGAGGTCTTCAGTCACCTGAGCTGACAACATGACTGTGCTCTCTGGCCCTGTGGGTAGATTGTGAAGAAGACAAGGGTCTGTCAGCTCAGTGCCTACAGCTCCTGGGCCCAGTAACTGGCTGCTTGGGGGAGTGATGGGCCCGAGTACCCAAACCCATCCACACCTGGTGGCAGGGCCATTGAGCTAGGACCTGGACAGCTGTCTGCCTTCAGGCCTGCCCCAGGGCTCGGCCAGCCAGGAAGGTAGAGGGATTGTGTCACTGCCATGAAGGTTGGGGTGTGCTGTGTGCAAAGTGGCCCTACCGTATACCATGTGTGCTTGGGACACCCTCATCTGAGAGCGGACCTGATCGTTCCTTGTGGAAGGACTGTCAGTGCTGGCTTCCTGTGTGTGGAGAAACAGCCCCAGCTGTTTCATGTGTGAGAGATTCCTTTACCCTGGCCACCCTGCATGGGAGAACTCATCAGCCCAGGGTGGTCCCAGTTCCCCATCTGTTGGAGACTCCGTTGACCCAGGGTAGCCCCAGCTGTTCTATGTATTGAGCATTCCCTCAGTCAGATAGCTCCAGGGGCCCTCTGTGGGAGAACCCTGGGCAAGGTCACAGCCCTGTGCTCTGGCCACAGGAGTGATGTGCCCACAGTGCCTTTGCCACACCCCCGTCTCTGCAGCCCCTCATGATGCGTGTCATGAGAGAGACAAAGAGACTTCAAAGGCCAAGGACCCAGAGTGGTAAGTGGGAGTTGGAAGTATGTTGGGGACGGGATCCTGTGTTTGATTGCATCCTTCTGAGTAGTTATCACACATTAAAAAGTTTAAAGAAGAACCGTTCAGATTTAAGATGCCTGGGTGCTGTGAAAGCAGTTTGCTGTGGCAGCTACATCTGGGCATGCTTGGTGCACAGTCAGGCCTGGTAGGGAAAGACCCTGAATGTGGTCCTGCTCCTGACGCAAGAAGGCTCCCCACCTTCTGCTTCTTTCCAGAGTTATGCTCCAGCCAGGCCACTGGCTCTGACAGTACGGTTATTTGTTAGGCCAAGTGCGTGCTGGGCTTGGTGTGCAGGGCATACGGGGTGACAGATTAACACTGAAGACACTGCTCACAGCTGCTCCCTCGTCAGCCCCATCCACTCATGCCCTGTTCATTCTGAGTTTGCCAAGCTGCAGGACTGTGCTGGAAGCCAGGACATGGAGACGGATTAGGCCCAGTGTAGTAGACCACACCTGCCAACTGCTGGAGGCGGGACTGGAAGGAGCCAGTGCCAGCACACAGGGCAGTGTCCCAGAGGGGCTCTACTCCTGTAAACAGCCAGCAGAAATGCTGTTAGTGTGGCATGCACAAGTCTTTCAAGTGTACGAAGGCCCATGAGAGAGGACTGACTTAAGAGATGGGCAGAGGATCTGGAAAGATGGCTCAGCAGTTAAGAGCACTAGCTGCTCTTCCTGAGGACCTAGGTTCAGTTGTGGCACCCACATGGCGACCAACGACCAGCTGTAACTCTAATTCCAGGGGATGTGATGTTCTCTTCTGGCTTCTGTGTGTGTTTTAGGTACACTTACAGACTCATACACTTAAAATAAAAATGATTTATTAAACAGAAAATAGATGGGCTGAGCCTTGTCCACAGACCACAGAGGTGAGAACCTTTCCAAACTGTATGGCTCTGCTCATGGCTGTGATTGATGGGAGGAAGACTTCTAAAGCCTGTGTTAGTTCAGGACCCTGAGGGACTCCTTAGTTCCCTAAGATCAGTTGCATATGACAGAAACCCCGCATGCACCAGCGAAAACAAAAATGGGGACTAATGGCCAAGAGGACCTGCTAGTTCCGGTATCTGTCCTCCTCCTCCTCCTCTTCCTCCTCTTTATTCTCCTCTCCCTCCTCCTCTTCCTCCTCTTCCTCCTCCTCTTCCTGTTCCTTTTCCTCCCCCTCTTCCTCCTCAGCCTCTTCTTCATCCTCCTCTCCCTCCTCCTCTTCCTCCTCCTCCTCCTCCTCCTCCTCCTCTTTTCGTTTGTCCTCATGAATGGGTAGATGGGGGTGGTGCATGCATGCATTGTGTGGGTCATACATGAGGAGGACATTGAGTCTTCCTCTATCACTGTCAGCCTAATCCCTTGAGACAGGGTCTCTCATTTAATCTGAAACTTACTATTTTGGCTAAGCTGACTGGCCAGCAAGCCCCGACACCTGATTCTGCGCACTGATGTTGAGGCACCCACAGCCACGGCTGGCTTCTTATGTGGATGCTGAGGATTCAAACTCAGGTCCTCTTGCTTGCACAGCAAGTGCTCTTGCCCTCTGAGCTATCTCCCCAGCCCCCAGTCCATATATCTTTAGAGAGTCTAGAGCAGTTTGTTGACTTCAGGTGAGGCTGGATCCAGGAGTTCACATGCTGTCACTGGGAAGTGTCATTGCCCTGAGCTGACAGGCCTCATACCCACAGAGCTCCCAGCTGCTGGTGAAAACCACTCCTGGGATAGAGCAAGTTGCTGCCACTCCAAATCCTGTACCCTGATGCCTCCCAGGCTTCCTCTCTGTCTCGACCTGAGCCTCTGGCTTCCTGCCTGATGGTACAGGAAGGGTCAATGTCAGGTCTCCTGAAGCCCGTCCTGCCCATCCACCCTCCACTCCAGTGGCAGAGGGCAAGCCTGCCTGTGACATTCTGCTCTCCCCCATTCTCAAGGTCCTGTGAAGGCTGATGTGGAAATCCCCTTTGAGGAAATCCTGGAGAAAGCCAAGGCTGGAGACCCCAAGGCACAGACAGAGGTGAGGACCAATGTCCAGTGGGAAAGCTCAGGATGTGGCCTCAGCCTAACTGGCCTGAGTGCCCTGAGGCTCATGGAGAATGGTCAGTCCTCTTCAGAGGTAGGAGCCAGCGTGATTGTGCTTTTGCCCTGTGCCAACCTGCCATTCGTTTCGTTTCCTGTTCACTGTGGATGACTTTTCCCCAGTACCTTCCACGTTTACCCTTCTGGTCCTCCTCACACTCTGTCTTGGACATCTACTCCTCCAAGGCGTCCTTCCTCTCTCTGCTTGCCCTCCTCCAGCCATCTGCAGCAGGCTCGCTCCCTAGGCAGGTTCTCTCTCAGCTGAGAACCTACCCTACATGCCAGGCAGTGTGGTACAGGAGAGTCGGGGGCAGAAGGACCGAGGCAGGAAAAGCTTACTGGGTGTCAGAGACCCCAGCATGCAGGGAGGGAGAAGGGACGGGAACAGTGACTTCAACAGGTTACCTCACTTTGTGTCCTCAAGATGCCCTGGCAAGTGGGAATCAGCAGCTCTACTTTGGGGCTACAATAGAAGTCAAGAAATTTTCAGTAGTTTGTCCTGGTTTGCAGCCACAAGGACAAGTGGGAGCTGCCCCCCCCCAATACTACGCTGGCATCCATGTCAGTTGGCATTTCCTATTATTTCCTGTTACGGAATCTAGACTGCTGGAGAGGAGGATCCCCAAATTCAGCCTTACATGGGAAGGCCAGAGCCCCACAGGTGCAAGGCAGAAAGCCCTGGGCAGTGACTACAGGCCCCATCCTCTGTCTCCAGCCTCGACTCAGCCTACCGTATAGGGATGTCACTGTGTTATCCCAGGGGCTCAGAGTGATGACTTCTCACCACCTGACCCCATGTATGTAGCTCAAGCAAGTGACCACCCACAGCTCTCCAAGGAGAGGGAAAGGCTCTGTAGAGTCACGAGGAAGAATTTCTGTTTGTACCCACAGAGCTATGTTGTACCATGAAGTCCTCTCCAGCCTGTGGCCCGAGCCGCCCAAGGCTGGGGAACACCCACAGGGCCATGCTGAACTGTGAGGTCCTCCCCAGTCTGTGGCCCGAACCTACCGGTGCTGAGGAGCAAGAGCATCTCTGTCCTGTGCCATCTTTGTTCTTGGCTTCACTGTTTCTACATATACACAGGTGCAATAAATAATAAATGAAATAAATTTTTTTTAAAGAATTCTTTTAACAAAAGTAATATAATAACTTGTCCTGGCCCAGTGCTGCTTTTGGCCAGCCTCTCCCTAGTCCGGGCTGATCTGAGAGGCGGGAATGGACCCAGTCATCATTCTGAAAACACAGTGGAGCTCTGGTACCCAGCAGACAGTAGCCGGGGCAGGAAGCTAGGCGTGGTGCAGAGCCCATGTCTCTCATTGTGGGAGGCCCCTGACTGCCCCATCGTGCAGATGATGGGTCCCGGAAGCCAGAGGCTGACCCGGGTCTCTGCTTGCAGGTGGGCAAACACTACCTGCGACTAGCCAACGACGCAGACGAAGAACTCAACAGCTGCTCAGCAGTGGCCTGGTTGATCCTGGCTGCCAAACAGGGCCGGCGAGAGGCGGTGAAACTGCTTCGGAGGTGCCTGGCGGACAGGAAAGGTGATGCTGTGTTAGGCTGCACTCAGCTGCCTGCGGGGTGCCCGGTTTGCAGTGCTGGTGGGAAGGGAGGCAACCCTCTGTTCTGTCAGCCGCCACGCCCTGAGACATGGTTTCTGTAACCTGTTGCGTACTGGACACACTGTACTGGACACACCGGGCCATTTCCATGCCCTGGGCTTGGTGTCTGCGGGTAGTAATTAATGAGGTCACCTTCCCCTGCTGGGTTCTGGTCCCTATTGAGAAATCAGTCTTTCCAGCCAGAGGGAGCGGCTGTCCCGGAGCGTGAGTATCCTATAGGTTCCAAGCCTCAGGAAGAAGTCACAGTACTTCATGAACTAAGTGTTCCGTTTTGTTATATATTCTTATTCAGTTATTTATTTATTTATGGTGGGTTTTATTGTTGGGGGGGCTTTGTTTTTTTGTTTTGGTTTTTTTTTTTTTTTTTTTTGGGGGGGGGTTTTTTTTTTTTTTTGAGACAAAGTGTCAACTACGTAATCCTTGCTGGCCTGGAATTCCCTGTGTAGAGCAGGCTAGCCTCAGACTCACAGAGATCTGCCTACCTCTGCCTCCCAAGTGCTGGGATTAAAGGCACATGCCACCATGCCTGCACATGTTATATATTTTTAAATTGTAAATTTTTTGTGATTGCTGTACAGAACTTGGGAACTCGGAACATGCAGACACCATGAGGGTACAGTTACTCAGAGCCCTGCAACTTAGAAGCTCTGTATTTTGGTATATTTTCTTTCTTTTTTTTTAAAGACTTTATTTTTATTTTTCATTATGCATACGTGTGTCTGTGTGTGGGCATATGCATGTGGGTATAGGTGCCCACAGAGTCCAGAGGCATTGGGTTCTCCCGGGGCTGGAGCCACAGGGAGTTTTGAACCTCCTGACATGGGTGGGTGCTGGGATCTGAACTCAGGTCCTCTGGAATATAAGCGCATGGTCTTAGCCACTGAGCCATCTCTCCAACCCCTGCTTTATTTTCTTTTCTCCTGGTTTTATATCATAGTATTTTCAGAGTTACATTTCTTACTGAATCTTTTCTCTTTGACAGACTGGTATCTTGGAGGGGAGGGGAAATGGTTTTCCCACTAAATTCTACTAGCCAGAATGTCTAACCCAGCTAGCCTGCCTAGTCCACAGCAGGTGGAATAAGCCAGGACCAGCCAGGGCAAGGGAGAGTGGTCCACATGGCTGTGGTTGGGAGTAGTGGCCACCAGGGAGCAGGGTCAAGGTCACAGCCCCAGAGGGTGGGAAAGAGAAGTTGGTATAGACTCATCTGCCCTGCCCTGATCAGCATTCCTGTACAGAGAGATTCCTAAGTAGAAAAAGAAATCCATGCTCATGTGGAAAATTTCATAAGCATTTAGGAGGAGAAAAATTTCGGTCCTGGGAGAGGTGTCTGCTGTGCTGCCAGCTGCCCTTGGGCCCTTTCACTTTACTTGGCCTATCAGAACCCCAGTGCACTCCGGCACCATAGCAGTGCCTTCTGGTGATGGTCTCCTGAGGATGAGATGGGAGAGGGGGCGAGCCAGGAAGGGCAACTAGTTCCATGCTTTCCTGCACCCATCAGATACTCAGACACTGCTCCAGTCCAGCTGACCTCCAACCTGGGGAGTGGGTGCTGGTGGGGCTAGGCCCAGATGTGCTTTGGGGCAAGTGTCCATTCTGCCTAGAGCCAAAGAAACCTATTCAACCTCCCTCATGTCCTTGTCTCCAGCCCTCTGGGGGTGTGCCTGATGGCCTGGGGGCTGGTATGGGGTGCTGGTTTGCCTAATGCCTCTGTCCGTCAGGCATCACTTCTGAGAATGAGGCCGAGGTAAAGCAACTGTCCTCCGAGACTGACCTGGAGCGGGCCGTGCGCAAGGCCGCCCTGGTCATGTACTGGAAGCTCAACCCCAAGAAGAAAAAGCAGGTGGCCGTGTCAGAGTTGCTCGAGAACGTGGGCCAGGTCAACGAGCAGGGTAGGCTAGCCACTTCCCCAATGCATGGTCTGGGGCCTTCCTTGTGGTGGGGTGGGGCCCCATGGTGAGGAGGTGGATGGTGTGTTGGCAGAATGTCAAAAGCACCACTCTGTGTTCATTTACTGATCAAAGTGTGCTGAGCTCCTTCTGGTCCTAAGACCAGGGATGTAGGGAGTGACAGAGGCCTGGTCCTCACCCCTAGGGAGCTGATATTAACTGAAGGTGGTCAAGGGCAGGCAGTGCCAGCCAAAGAGGGAGGTGTACACAGAGCCCCATGACCATAGTCCCTAGTGGATGGGCTATGCCTATCACCAAGTAGAGACACCACTTGGTATGCTTTCCATCCTGTGAAAAGGTCCAGAGGTAAATACCCAGGGATGTGGCCCTTGCACATGATGAAGACCCCAGACCCTGAGCTGAATAGATAGCCCAGGATCCTGAAGACCTGTGCCTGGTGGGCCATAAGGCATGAGGGGACAGCCAGATGGCCCTGGTACCCAATCTTTTCTCTCCCTGCAGATGGAGGGGCACAGCCAGGCCCAGTCCCCAAGTCCCTGCAGAAGCAGAGGCGCATGCTGGAGCGCTTGGTCAGCTGTGAGTGTGAGTATAACTGCCATCCTGTACCTCCATCCTGTCATTGCCCACCCTGCACTGCCACCCTGACGTCTGCTACCCGCCCTCTGCCGGGCACAGTGTCCCCTCCTTCCTGTGCATCCTAAGCCTGGCCCCCTACCAGGATCTCCAGCTTAAATGGACTTTGGTCCAATTCCTTTGGGTGACAATTTTCTAGTCCTTGGGACCTGGACTGTGTGTCCTCAGGCTGCAGTAGGAAATTGCCCAGTGAGACGGTTCTTGCTAGATGAAGGCTGGAGGCGTGGTATTACCTGAGTGTACCAAAGGTCAAGGAGGGAGGCCACTCCTCTGCAGAAGAAACAGTTCTAGCAAGACCTAGAGGGGAACCATCAGGTGTGAGGGGAACAGTGTCCCAGTGTAGGACTTGTGTTGAAGCAGGCGGGGAGGGGCATAGCATCCACGTGGGGTGGGGAGAGAGGCCGGGGGCATGCATAACTGGGGGTGCTTTAGGAGATCTGAGATCAGTCCACGTAGCCTGTCACTCCATCCATCTGGGGTGGAGTCTGCAGTCCAGGGGCCTCAGGTTCCCATCCCTGAGAAAATGGGCGCGAGGCGGGTGGGGGATGCTCAGGGCTGCTCAGCACTGATAGGAGAGCTGAGCCATCCCTGGTGGGGCTCAGCGGGTGGGAGAAGGGTTCACAGCCGGGACCCCTTGTGTTAATTCATCGGCGCCTCCTCCCCAAGCCAGCCCAGGGGGAGCGGCCAACATAGCTATGGCTCTTGGCCATGCAGCCAGCGTTTGCCGTCCCTGCAGGCCGGGAGCCCAGGCTTAGGCATGTGCTGCCTTCCCTTTACCTGTCTGCAGTGTTCCCCAGAGCTTAGAACGGTGCCCAGTGCATAGCAGGCTCTTGGCAGATACAGCAGGGCAGAGAGGTTTACAGACATACAGTGGACCCTCAGGATCCTGACTAAGGGATGGGGCATGAAGATGCTTCTAGGTCCTTCATGAATCTTGTATGGAAGCACATGGTAGGCCCTTGGTGGAGTTTGTTGGACAGGGTAGTAGCCCCTTCTTGAGTCTTGGTGGATGGGGTCAGAGAGCAAGTAGTGAGTCTTCGGATCCTGTTGGATGGGGGGCTGGGCAGTGGCTGGCCTCAGGGCACCTGGTCCCTAGCACACTGAGGCCCTGCCAGGTAGGAGGACAAGAAAGGCATTAAAGAGTGTGGGGGATACGGGCTGATGAAGGCTTGGCAGTAGGGCTTGGCTTAAGGGGTCGATCAGGTGGACACCAGGTGTTGGGCTGGGAGGGACAGGTTACTTCAGCTGGGTATCATGTCACCAAGGCTGGAGGCAGGAGTGGGGACTGGCAGAGGACAGACCTACCACTTCTTCCCTGTCCGACTGATCCTTTTCTGTGTCTACATCCAAGGACGGGTCCTGTACCTGACCCCATTCAGTTCTGGTCCCAGCTGGGGCCCCAGTTACCACCTTCGCCCGCCCGCCATCAGGGTTGAGCAGGCTTGCAGTCCAGGGGCCCTGGTGCCATTTTCTCTTGTGCTTCATTCAGCCAAGAACTACATTGCGCTGGACGACTTCGTGGAGATCACCAAGAAGTATGCCAAGGGCATCATCCCCAGCAACCTGTTCCTGCAGGATGATGATGAGGACGAGGATGAGCTGGCCGGAAAGAGCCCAGAAGACCTGCCGCTGCGCCACAAGGTGAGCATCGGCCCCCACCCGGCACCCCAGTCCTCTCTCAGGAGCCACAGGTGGGAAGGTCTTCACCTTCAGACACAGCCTGGAGCTGGGCCACTGTCCCTTGGGTCATTCCTGGTGAGGAAGTGTCCTCAGGAAGAGACCCAGAGAGCCGGGGCAATGTCGTGCAGGCATGTGTGGGTGACAGTCACGCCATCAAGTGTCTGCACAGGGCGTGTGTGAGCAGAAAATGCCAAAGGTTGGATCCAGACCTTCCTTTAGACTCACCATGTAGAGAAGTTTTCTCTGGCCTGGCACAGAAGCCTGGCATGCCAAACATGCCTTCTCCGAAACCCAGTCTGCTGGCCAGCTGGGCCATGCGCCTGCTCACTGGTTCTGCTGCATTAGGGAGATACCAGGGTGGGCCGGGACGGTGGGAATGCGGGAGGGAGGCACCAGAAGTGAGAAGGATGCAGAAATGTGCCCTGCCCTGTCTTGACAGGGCTCCACAGTGGGTTGGGACTCAGTGTAGACACAGGGTGTGGCCACAGGGCCATCACAGAGTTGCCCCAGGTCAACTCACTAGGCTGGGTCAGATGTGTCTGCCTCTAGTTTGCAGGAATGCCAGGATTGCTAGGTATTGAGCTACTTGACCCAGACAGGCATGTCAGGGCATTGTGATCAACACAGCCAAGGCTGGGCAGGGACCTCTAAGCACAGAGGAACTGTCATGTAGTCTGTGGCCTTTGTTACCCATGCATACCTCAGTTCTGGGTATTCAAGATGGAGAATGTGAACTACAGTAAGCAAATGGGTCAAAGTGAGGGGGCAGTGACAGAAGAGGCTTACAGGGCCAGCTGGCAGGAAGTGACTGGAGAGGCTCCACAGGGAGCCAGAGTATAGGGAGGGCCACCATAGGAGAGGGAAGCCAGAGTGTGGGCAGGATCACCACAAGGGAGGGGGACCAGAGTGTGGGGAGGATCCCCACGGCGGGAGTCAGAGGATAGAGAGGTCCACTACAGGGAGGGGGATCCTATGGGGAAGGCCACTGCAGGTAGAAACAGGAGAGGCCCAGAGAGCAGGCCAGTTCAGTACACTCAGAGATGAAAGAGCCACATGTGAGCTGTGGCCCTGGGAGCTGGCACGTGAAACCTCTGAGGACCAGTAGCCATTCAGGGCAGAAAAGATGGTCACTCTGCAGGTCCTGAGGTTCAAGGTAGCACGGAGACTGAGCTGAGGAGCTGGTGACCGTGAGGATGGCCCATCCAGAGCTGGCCTAAACTGGTCACGTTCACTTACCGACAGGTCGCCCTAGTGGTCTTCCTACCAGGAGAGGAGGAAGCTGGGTCCTCTGTGGTTCTTGGCAAAGAGGAGTCACACTCCCTCCCCTTGCCATTGAGGGCCAAGGTGAAAGGAAGAGCTAGTGAGGACACTGAGGCCAGAGCACCCTAGTTCGTGTGTCTCAGTGCAAGCACTGTGGTGCCGCCTTCTGCAGTGTCCTGGTCTGGCACGCGCACATGTGCGCACACACACACACACACACACACACACACACACAGAGCAATGAGTTCGTGCCATGCAAGTCTGGAAGCTGAGAGAGAGAGAGAGAGAGAGAGAGAGAGAGAGAGAGAGAGAGAGATATAAAACATATGGCGAGAGATAAACAAGAACTACACTGCAATGTTTGGAACTGTTGCAGCCCTTGGGTTCCTTCCTAATTTGTCATCACAAGTCCTATGCAGTAAAGAGGCTAGGCCATCACTCAGGCCCCCACAGCTCTCCATGCCTTACAGGGAACCAAGCACCTGTCCTCTGGGAGAATGACAGGAGCCTGGGAAGCTGGTTGCTCCCACAAAGAACGTTCTAGATGCCAGTTAGCTCTCCTTGGACCTGAGGATGCAGGGTGCCCTTTTAAAATATTTATTATTATTATTTTTCCATGTGTGGGTGTTGGTGTATGTATATGTTACACGAATGTAGGTGCCCACAGAGTGCAGAAGAGGGTGATGGATTCTCTGGAACTGGAGTTACAGGTGGTTGTGCACTGCCTGATCTGAATGCTGGGGCCTGGACTCCAGTCCTCTGGAAAAGCAGCAAGTGTTGTCAGCTGCCGAGCCATCTCCCAAGAAATTTGTTTAGCGAGTTTTGTTTGTTTGTTTGTTTAAAGACAAAGTCTTATTATGTGTCCCTGGCAGGCCTAGAACTCACTATGTAGACCAGACTGGCCTTGAACTTACAGAGATCTGCCTGCCTCTGCCTCCAGAGTGCTGGGATTAAAGTGCCACCACGCCTGACTGCAGGGTGCCCTCTTAAAAGCAAATCCCGTGTTTTAAATTTTTAACACGTTTATGTTAACTTATGGAAAATCTGGCATGTGAACATTTTTCTCTCAGGTTTCAGCAGAATGTGGCTTCCTGGCACTTGCCTCTGTCACACTGGTTAAGGCAGCCATCGTTCTGTCCCCTAGCTTGTGGTTTCTCTCAGTGGACAGCGTGTGCTGCTGTTCCTGTCCTAGAACATAATCCTAGTTATGCTATTTATTGTTTATTTCTTAGTATGCTTTCCCAGCTACAGGAAGTTTCTTTTCCTTTGTTTGGACATTTTCTACAGGAGACTCAAAGTTGAGTTCACAGCCTGCCGGGGCCCCAGCGGGAAGGGCTCAGGTAGAAGAAGCAGGGGACAGAATGTAGGATCGTAGAAAGGACACCCTGGTCACAGAGGCCCCCTGCAGGGTCAGCCCTACCACACTGTCCGAACAGGACTGGGCACCCTGGGCATTGGGTTCCAGAAGCTTCGTTGGGTTTCACGGGCCCTCCACTGGGACAGAGGCAGTGCCGGCAGCTCTGAGCACTGAGGCAGACCCAGGTTGTTCTGCGCCTGCTCTGGAGCACTGGCAGGCACTCTGACAGGTAGCATGTGGGAGCAGCACTGGATGGTGGGGTCTCCTCATCACCTCCCTCCTGAGGCTCCCAGACTCCCATCCTTCAGCCTCTCATTCATCTTCTGACCTTTGCACTAGGTGCTGATTCGTGTCACAGAGTATGAGGCGTTTGTGTGTGGGGGTGCTTATATGCATGTGTCTGTGCATTGTGAGTATAAAGTGGGCATATGTGAGTGAGCATGAGCATGCATACTGTATACGGTGAGTGTGCACACATGTCTCTCTGTGACAGGCTTATGTGTCATGCATAGGGGTGCATATGACAGGTGCTGTATCTCAGGACTTTACCCAGCACCGCGATGGCTGATTTGACCCTTCATGGGAAAGGCCCATAGTGCCCTGCTGTCCGTTTGCACCTAACTCTCTGAACCTCATCAGCCACCCCTCCTGGGAGCGCACACTGCCACCTCCACCTCAGTTTAGAGCCTAGAGTAGCCTGGTGAAGTAGTGGTTACCGCCTTCTTGACAGGCAAGGAAATGGGCTCAGAGAGGTGACATCCTTCCCCTGGAGAGAGATGCAGTCCCAGATGAGCAGCCCAGAGCTGCCTTGTCTTGATGAGGGAAGCCTGGCAGGAGAGGGGAAGCGGGAGAGCAGGCGGCTTCCCCGAGATGCTCAGTGTCTCAGGAGATAGACTTGCATGAGTGCTGTCACCCTGGGGGAGCCCAGCATGGGGGCATAGAGAATGGCTCCTGGGCCCCAAAGAAGGTAGGTCTGTAGGAACTGTGGACCGCACAATGGGGAAGAGATGCTCTTAGGGGAAGGACCTGTTAGGACAAAGCCCAGAACGGGGACAAGCAGGCTGGTGTGTTTGCCTTGGGTAGAGCCAGGGGAAGGGGGGTCTGCTGAGAGGGCAGGGGGCTCTTGTCCCTGTTGGCTTCAGCACTCTCTCTCCCCCAGGTGGTGAAATACCCCTTGCATGCCATTATGGAGATCAAAGAGTACTTGATCGACGTGGCCTCCAAGGCAGGCATGCACTGGCTGTCCACCATCGTGCCCACACACCACATCAATGCCCTCATCTTCTTCTTCATCATCAGCAACCTGACCATCGACTTCTTTGCCTTCTTCATCCCCCTGGTGGTCTTCTACCTCTCCTTTGTGTCCATGGTCATTTGCACGCTCAAGGTGTTCCAGGACAGCAAGGCCTGGGAGAACTTCCGCACACTCACCGACCTACTGCTGCGCTTCGAGCCCAACCTGGACGTGGAGCAGGCAGAGGTCAACTTCGGCTGGAACCACCTGGAGCCCTATGCCCACTTCCTGCTCTCCGTCGTCTTCGTCATCTTCTCCTTCCCCGTGGCCAGCAAGGACTGCATCCCCTGCTCGGAGCTGGCCGTCATCTCCGCCTTCTTCACAGTGACCAGCTACATGAGCCTGAGTAGTTCCGCTGAGCCCTACACCAGGCGGGCCCTGGTCACTGAGGTGGCCGCTGGGCTGCTGTCCCTCCTCCCCACCATGCCTGTGGACGGGCGCTTCCTAAAAGTGCTCGGGCAGACCTTCTTCACCGTGCCCATCGGCCACTTCGTCGTCTTCAACGTCAGTGTCCCTTGCCTGCTCTATGTCTACCTCTTCTACCTCTTCTTCCGCATGGCTCAGCTGAGGAACTTCAAGGGCACCTACTGCTACCTAGTGCCCTACATGGTATGCTTCATGTGGTGTGAGCTGTCCGTGGTCATCCTTCTCCAGTCCACCGGCCTGGGCCTGGTCCGAGCCTCCATCGGCTACTTCCTCTTCCTCTTCGCCCTCCCCATCCTGGTGGCCAGCCTTGCTCTCATGGGTGTGGTGCAGTTTGCCCGCTGGTTCCTGTCCCTGGACCTCACCAAGATCATGGTTACCACGGCGATCTGTGGTGTGCCTCTGCTCTTCCGCTGGTGGACCAAGGCCAGCTTCTCGGTGGTGGAGATGGTCAAGTCCCTGACTCGGAGCTCCATGGTCAAGCTCATCCTGGTGTGGCTTACAGCCATCCTACTCTTCTGCTGGTTCTACGTGTACCGATCAGAAGGCATGAAGGTCTACAACTCCACACTCACCTGGCAACAGTACGGCTTCCTGTGTGGGCCCCGGGCCTGGAAGGAGACCAACATGGCACGCACTCAGATCCTGTGCAGCCACCTGGAAGGCCACAGGGTCACGTGGACAGGCCGCTTCAAGTATGTCCGGGTGACCGATATCGACAACAGCGCAGAGTCAGCCATCAACATGCTCCCCTTCTTCCTGGGCGACTGGATGCGCTGTCTGTATGGCGAGGCCTACCCGTCCTGCAGCCCGGGTAACACGTCCACAGCTGAGGAAGAGCTCTGCCGCCTCAAGCAGCTGGCCAAGCACCCCTGCCACATCAAGAAGTTCGACCGCTACAAGTTCGAGATCACAGTGGGCATGCCCTTCGGCACCAACGGCAACCGCGGCCACGAGGAGGATGACATCACCAAGGACATCGTGCTGCGGGCTAGCAGCGAGTTCAAGGATGTGTTACTCAACCTGCGCCAGGGCAGCCTCATCGAGTTCAGTACCATCCTCGAAGGCCGCCTGGGCAGCAAGTGGCCTGTCTTCGAGCTTAAGGCCATCAGCTGCCTCAACTGCATGACACAGCTGTCCCCGGCCCGGCGGCATGTGAAGGTGGAGCAGGACTGGCGCAGCACCGTGCACGGCGCCCTCAAGTTCGCCTTCGACTTCTTCTTCTTCCCGTTCCTGTCGGCCGCCTGAGGGGCGCCCACTGCTGGAGGAGACTGGGGTGCATGTCGTTCTGAGGCCTTCCCCATGTGACCGCCCAGTTAGCTGGCACAGTGCTGTGCTAAGCATGTGTGCGTGTGTGTGCCTACTGTGTGCGCTCACCTGGATAGATCCCAGCACGAGGACCCTGTGCTCACTTGTAGACTGCATACCCCACTGGAGGGTGACTCCCTTCAGTGCTGTTCACTTCCTATGCCAAGCGTCATAGGAAATTGCATGCCATCTTCACCAGGGCCAGGCGCCAGAGGCCCTGTGTCCTGAAGAGCACTTTCCAGATAGGAGCCCCCCTCCCCCACCCCACATGCCCTGCTGCCCTCCCTTTATGTTGGATTTGTTTTTTGAAGAACCAGATACGTTTCTGTGTAGTTTTCATGGTAACATTTCTTATTTATTTGGTTTGTTGCTGAGCCTTGACAGCTGCTCACCTTTCTGGGCTGTCCCCAGTGACCTGCACCCTGTCCGTGGTCAGGTCCTGGGTGTTTTCCTGCCTGGAGGCCTGGGAGGCAGCTGTGGGCAGAGCATGTCCGTGCTGGGGTCTGGACATCTGCCTAGAGGCTCTTCTGTGGGAGTTTGTGAGGGCCTTGTGGACTGGGTAGCAGCTCAGTAGCACCCCCTTTCAGTGCGCATAGCCTTGTTTAGTACCACAGAGGCAAAGACAAGGTCCTAAAGCAGCCGAAATAAACAGCTCCGGTGAATCTGCACCCCTTCCCTCTGGCCTCTGTTTACAGGAAGTCTTGTCTAGTGTGTGCATGAGAGTCAGAGGGCTTCTACATCGGATGGAATGATAGAATCAAGCCACCTGGGTTACAGCAGGCAGAGCTGACTTCCACACAGTTGACCCCCATGCCCCAATCCCCGCTGAGGAGTGGAGTGACACGGCACTCTGTAAGGTGCAAAAGCCCATGAAGCCTCAGCTACAGACCTGGGGCACCTGGTACCAGCACACAAAAGTCAGCCCAGCTGTGGACCCTGGCCTTGGGGTGAACAGTGCATTGGGTGTTTGAAACCCAAGTCACTGACTAGATGGCGTGCTTGGTGACTCATGGTTTGGTGTTTGTGAAACTGCTGTATTCAGTTATGTCTGGTAATCCCACAGAGGTATAATTAGAATTTAAGTCATGGGGGCTGGATGGGGTAGGGTCCTGTTCCAATTTTGTTTCTGTTGCTGTGATAAAACATTCTGACCAAAAGTAACTTAGAGGAGGAAAGGGCTTATTTGGCTGACACCTCCAGGTGCTTGGAGGCTCACACAGGCTTACACTACGGTAAGTGTGTAAGCCAGCCCCTCCTACATCAGTTAACAAGCAAGACAGTCCCCCACAGACAGGGCAATCTGATGTGGGAAGTCTCAAATGAGACTCTTCTTAAGTGACTCTAGGTCGTGTTTAGTTAACAAAGCTAACTAAGACAGGTCCCCTGTGGGAATGCACCCTCTTGTCTTTGGTAGGGTTTTTGTTTTGTTTCTTAAATTATTATTATTATTATTATTATTATTATTATTATTATTATTGGTCTTTATTGAGACAGGGTCTCCCAGTAGCCCCAGATGGCCTAGAACTTACTATGTAGACCAGGCTGGCCTCAAACTCGCAGAGATCTGCCTGCCTCTGCCTCCCGAGTGCTGGGATTAAAGGTGTGTGCCACCACACTCAGCTAATTATTATTTTTTTATGTGTATAAGTATGTTGCCTACATGTGTATAAGTGCACCCATGCCATGCAATACCAGAGGATGTCAGAAGAGGGCGTTGGAGTCCCTGGAACTGCAGTTGTGGATGATTGTTAGCTGCCATGTAGTGCTGGGAACAGAACCCAGATCCTCTGTAAGAGCAACCAGTGCTCTTAACCGCTGAGTCATCTCTCTGGCCCATTTTGTTTTTTAATATATTTTATTGTTTTTATTTTATGTGCATGACTATATTTCCTACATGCATGTAAGTGCACCTGTGTTATGCAACATCCACAGAAGTCAGAAGAGAACATCAGATCCCCTGGAACTAGAGTTACAGACAATTGTTAGCCACCATGTGGGTGCGGGAACCAAACCTGGGTCCTCTACAAGAGCAGTCAGTACTCTTAACCGCTGAGCTGTCTCTCCAGCCTCTTGTTTTGTTTTGCTTTTTGAAATTGAGTCTCACTATGTATGTAGCCAAGGCTGGCCTGAAATCCACTGTGTGGCCCAGGCTGGCTTTGAACACATACTGATCCTTCTACCTCAGTCCTGAGATTCCAGATATGAACCACCAAACCATTTGATTTCTATCTTGAAGGTGAGGACCACCTGTGTGCATGTGCGTGTGACAGAGACAGAGAGAGAAACGCTGACGAGAGAGAGAGAGAGAGAGAGAGAGAGAGAGAGAGAGAGAGAGAGACGCTGACCCTTGTAAGCCAAGCCCTTCCTGCTGTGGGTGGGGTGGACTCTGTCCTGCCTGGCCTAAATTAACAGTTGAGGGTGTGGCTGAGTTTATTTTCCTCAGGGGTCCACTGTGGCACTGGACAGGGGCAGCTGCATCCCCCATCCCATGGGGTCTGCCTAAAATCACACATGTCAAAGCAATATTCAAGAGCCATCTACTCCGTGTGTGTGTGTGTGTGTGTGTGTGTACATGCACAGACAGGTGTGGCATCTGGCTAAAGGCCAGCACCATCCCTCTCCCTGTCCTTCAAGACCTGAGGCCACAACATGCAATTGTCACACACACACACACACACACACACACACACACACACACACACACACACCAATGTACCACCAATTGTTCAGAATTCTTGGAATGAGCACAGATGACCCAGCTTTTTAGCTGAGTGAGGAGAGTCCTGTGACCACTCCATCCACAGAAGAGAAAAGGTTCGGAGGACCACGGTGTGGCTACCACACTGCTACCCCGCATCCCTTGGCTGGTCTCCAGCCAGGCAGTGGGACCTCGGGACAGGCAGGAGTAGACTCATGAAGAGAACCAAGCTGGTCACAGATCCTTGATCACGCCTCTTGCTCTGCCTCAGACCCGTGTGACCAGGTGGCCTGCAATGGCAGCTGTCCCCAGCCTCCATGTCCCATCTGCAGAATGGGAAGTGAGCTGGGGCAGTGCTTACAGTGGCCCCTTACAGTGTGCAGAAATGGGGAGCCCTGGTGTATCACTAGAACCCTTGCTTTCCCATTCAGAGACGCCTTAAGCCTGCACCCTCCTGGAGGTGTGAGTATGCCAAGCCCTAGCACTGGGTCAGCCTCCTTCCTGTAGAATGGGTGTTAACAGCATCTGCCTCACTGGCTGTTATAAGGGAAAGAGGAGTTGATCTTTTGACGAGGTGGGCAACAAGATGTCAAATGCTCCATAAATATGGGCTCATCTTTTAGGACAGAGACATTCCTAAACCACAGAGCCTTAGGTCAGAGGAACTGTGAGTCCTTGCTGGCTTCACAAGGACTTAAAACTTTGTGAAACAGCTGTGTTTAGACTGGAACCTATCTGAGTGGCTGAATCCAGAGGACCTGGTATCTTGGCTGCCTGCACAGCACCCCAGAAGAAAGTGGCCCTCCTTCCTTTTGGTTGTCCGACCAGAACTGCTTGGCCAGTACTGTGACTGTCTAAAATATTTCTGTATGTTAGCAGCTCCTGAATGCACCCCACTCCACCAGTAGGAGTAGCCCGGGAACGGATGGGAATGGGAATGGATCTGGGGTCATCCTTGGGTTCCTCCTCTGCCTGCCACCCTTGGAAATGGGTTTGTCTGAGGAGGGATCTGCCTTGTGCAGGTCCTGACTCCAATGTGGGGCCTTAAGTCTTCCAGACAAGGCAGGGTCTCTGTCCCTTGTAGGCAAGTGTCAGTTGAAGGTGTAACCCCCCTCATCCAGGCCCTGTCCCACTGCCCCACAGTCCACCTGCCCATGCCCACTGGTCAGCCCCACCACAGAGCTGTCTCAGGAGGGCTGCTCACTGTTGGTTCCAGAAGCAGATCCATTTTCCATCCCAAAGATCAACTGTGACCACAGTTGTTGGGCTTAGAGCCTGGGCTCTGACAGCCCTCACAGCCAGGATTGGTCACCCATCTTCAGTGAAAAGTGGCTCAGTGGTTAAGAGCATTGATTGCTCTTGCAGAGGACCCGGGTTCATTCCCAGCATCCATATGGCAGCTAACAACTGTAACTCCAGTTCCAGGAAATTCGATATCCTCTGACCCCCGCGGGCATTGCATGACATGGGTGCACTTACACACATGCAGGCAACACACTTGTATACATAAAAATATTAATTTAAAAAAACAGAGAAAAGAGATTTATTCAGTGTGGCCTCACTAGGAAGAGGATCTGAGAGGTCCAGTGACCCCACCCCCGCCCTTCCCCTGTCCATCTTAGGGGTCTAGGTTTGAATAGAGGGCAGGAAGTATTGTTACATTAGCAAGAAAGGTCCCCTTAAGAGAAAACTGGTCAAGAGAACATAGATCTCCGGGTGGAGACTCAGCATTCCAGTTCAGCCAGGTGAATTACCTGGTCCCGGTGAACCCTAGGTAGGAGGGTTCACCTTAAGTCATGCTAAAAAATAGAATAGCTGGTTCATACTTAAGATCGTGGATTTTCCTGCCTGCAATCCCCAACCCCTAGGGCAGTTGCTATAGGCCTCCACAGCAGCAACGTAACACCAATTATACCTGATTTCTGAATTCTTTTTCTTCTCTTTCCTAACCATGTTTCTCTAACACTCTGGGCTACCCCAACATTTCTTTATCCTTTCTTTATGTTTCCCCTCCTGCCTTGTGACTGCTCGTTCACCACATGACTGACCCCCATGCCAGCTTTAAAACAGCTTGGGTTACCCACCCCCCCGCCAGCTACTGAGATGTACAGCTTGCCCAGCGTGAGGGTTTTTCTTTTACATGGCAATACTGTTTGAGTCCTTTCTTAAACTCTTTGTTAATGAGACTAGGAACCTAAGAGGGGACCATTTTCCCCTATGTCAGGATGCATGACTAAGCACTCCTGGTCAAGGTGGGGCCCTGCCCATCAAGTTGTCAGAGCTCCAGAAGATCTTTCTAGGGAGACAAGCTCCCTCCTCCCCTTCAGCTGGCACTGACCCCAGCCTTTTCCTTCTACATGAGGTACCTAGAGCTATTCCAGCTTTGGGGGCTCCATTGATTCAACAGTCTGATAGCCAAAAGGAGAGGCACCAACATCTCTGGATGGCCCACCAGGACAGTTACAGAACTAAGTAGCACTGCCAGCCTTTTGGCCACTAGGGCTCGGCGGCCAGTCACGGGAATGGGATTCAGTAAATCAAGGAAAATCTCTGCTATGGCTTGTGAACTTTCTTAGCTTTGGTGTTGATAGAAGGCAGTTGTCTGCTGAGAATACTTTCCAAAGGTTTTACCTGATAGGACAAGGATGTTAGGCCAGGTGGAGGAGTCGACAATGGAGGGCTGTAAGGCGGGTTCAAATTAGCTCTAGATAATTTGGCTTGGATCTGCAGCATTCTAACTTTCCACATCTGAGAATTCTAATCAGCCAGCCAGCCTAGAAGAGTCTTCAGCTCAGGGGTAGCTCACCCCCACCCAGGGAGCCTGACATCTGCAGCTCCCTGTGACTGATGAGAAGGGAGAGGGTCAACTTCCAGGTCATACCACTGAAGGACAGAGGATGTGTTGTCCTTATACTCTCCTGCCACCATGGACTAACTGTGAGGACTCACAAATCCAAGGGAGGAGGAGCAGTGAGAGAAATAGCCAGGCCAGATAGTCACAGGGTGAAAGTCCAAGGTCCATCCTGACTCAGACTTCTACAGTAGAGACAGGGGCTCATTTATGCTGCTGTTATTCAGAGTTTCCATCCCACAGAGCCGAATGTGGTACCCCACAGCCAACAGCACGCAGTTTCCAGCCCTGGGGAGGTGCCGCACACCAGTCCAGAGTCCAGCAGAGCAGGGTGGTAGTTGTCAGGGACGAACAGCAAATACCCTTATCCCTCATGCTGGGCTGCTTCGGGATCCAGATCCCGGCTGGACCCCTCACTAGCAGTGCCATGGGGTCCTGAGATGAATGTGGATACTTCAGGCCACTGTCAGCTGGACCGGCTCCAGGAGGCTTCGAATCCCCATCCCTGGCCTGTATCTTCCTCCTGAACCCCCACCACTCTCTGCAGCTGCTGTCTGGTCTTGGTGTGGCCTCGAAGGCCCAGTGTGGGCCGCAGACTGTCTCTACTTTCCCTTGGGACAGCCAGGACCCAGCAACGGTGTGTTCTAGGGCTTTCAGGGGTCAGTCACACGATGGGAGAGCAGCAGCACTGCGTGTGGGTCCTGTGTCCTCCATGTCCGTGGATGAGGACCGTGAGACCCAGCAGTTAGAATGACACCCTCAGTATTGAAGCCAAGATCGACCCCAGGTGCCCTCATCTGGCTGCACTCATAAGCCTGGGGCACATTGTGGATGAACAGCTGGATGATGACAGACAAATACCCACTTTCCTATTTTACTATTGAACTTTGGGAGTGCAGATTTTAAGGTAGAGCCTCACAATGTCCCTTTTTACTACACTCCACCCCCATGGCTGCCTTTTGCAGACTGAGCTCTGACTCAGCTCTGACTCAGCTGGCTTCGTGGGCAAGCAGGTAAAGAGAGCTGGGCTTTGTTTCAGAGACCTCACTGTTTGAAACAGTCATTCCCAGCTCCAGTGATTATTTCCAGCTCTGAAAGCTTTAGTTGCTAGGAAACCATGCCAGAGGTCAGGAATCTTTGTTTCAGCTGAGCATCAAGTGGTTGAACTTGAGCAGGAGTACTTTGAAAGGCAGTCTGGGTAAAAGGGAACCGAACAAGGATAGTATTCAGGTGGGCAAGAACATCAACTGATCAAACTCACTGGGTCTGGCTTTATTCTAGTGAGATCATTGGGGTGTTTGGAGGGGATTTAGTAGGTTTTTGTTTGTCCAGACAGGAAGAAAGTCCTTTTCTTTCTACTTAACTGTCAGAACAAACTGCCATGTAGGGCAGCAGGGCCCGTTTTCTCCCGGGTCCCTGGGCTGCTTCTCACCCTAGGGGTGCTGAGTCCCTGGGTAGTAGTCATGAAAGGCCCCAGGAGAGTCAGCTGTGCCACAGGGCTGGAGTCATTGTCATGTCACTGTCCTGGCAAGAATGAAGGTATTCTAGAGCCCTTCTTACCCCTCCCTCCAGCTATCAGACTATCAGGACAATGCACCCCACGAAACTGAAATGTCCCCCAGGAGTCTCATACTCGAAGGAAAAGGCTGAGGCCTGGTGCCTGCCAGAGGCGGCACTCGCCTCCATGAAGAGATTTCACAGTTCTGACAACTTGTCAACCCCTTGCAGGAGAGACTGGAGCTGAGGCAGTGACGGGTCAGTGACGGGCAGGCCCACACCTGGACAGGACTGCTCAGCTCTGCATATCTCTTGCTCTGTATTTAAACCTAAACCCCATGTCAGGACCCCAAGATGACTTGGGGGTCTCTGGACCTGTTCCTCTTCGCAGTGTGGCCACATGGAATAACTCTTTCCTCTTTTCACTGTCACTCATATAACTGGCCTAATGAGGGCAGGTAGCCAAGCCCGGCTTCTGAGGGCTGCCAGGGTGCCAACGCAGACAACCCGAAACTATTGCTGTCCCTGCTTTATACAGGGGTGGGGTGGGGGTGCTGAGGCACAGAGAAGTGTGGTAGCTTGCTGCGACTGCCCCCAGGTGTCCTCCAGGATGACCCAGTCTCCACACCCCTGCAGCTCCCACACCAGGCTAGTCTCTGAGCAGCTTCTGTGGCAAAGGAAGTCATCCTGGTGGCTCCAAGCACAGGGCACTGGCTCTGAGTGACTGGGCCTTGCCACCAGCAGCCCTGTGGAGAGGCCTGCATACTGATGGACTGAGTCATGAAGCAGTCACCTAAGTGAGCTGGGAAACAGCCTTCACCCAAGCAACTGCCCAGAGGTGCAGACGACAGCCTGGCTGTGAACTCCTCAGAGCTCCTGACCCGGCCTGGCTGGTCTGTTCCTGGGCCCTAGAAACTGGGAGACGATGACCGCAGTAGCTTTATGCTGCTAGACTTGGGGACAATTGTTGTGTGGCCTCAGCTAACTGATAGACTCCCCACCCTCTCCCAGGCAGCAGTCCTGGGGGTTCCATTCTTCACCACTTAAAATGCTTCTCCGTGAATCCCGGTTTCCCCATCTGTGTTTGTGGTGGGTTACGTACACCTGCTTCAAAGGGAGACAAACAGTCACCAACAAAGCATTTACATGCCAGGCAGTGCACCCTGTGGGCACCACCCTGGTACCCCTTCCTCAGCCACGTGCCAGGCCTGCAAGACTGGTACCCTACTGGTTCCATTTCCTCCACCTGGGTTAGGGTCAGGGAGACACTGCCAGAGGTGCCCAGCCTGGGTGGGAGCCGCCTCCTACACCCCCCCACTGCCTCCTGAGGGCTCACCTCCTGTTAGCAGCCTTTGGAGCCTCATCTTAGATGTAACATTTGTTATTTTATTGGAAAAAGCTGGTATTAACATATTTATAATTTTATTCAACAGTTGGATAATTTGTGAGACACCGAAGAAAAATGCACCTATGAGTCACAGAACCCCAAATGATCGGCCCCACTATATCACCAGCAGGTATGGACCCAACACCCTTTGAGGGCTTTGACCTCGGAGAAGAATCAAACCGGGAGAGAAAAAACCCAAAACCCCAACAATGTCACACAACAATGGGAAAATGTCATACATTCGAGGAGACCAGAGAACTTAGGCAGAATAAGGCTGCAAAGTCTGTGACATGGCTCTGGTCCTTCCGCCATTTCTCACACCGCCCCTCCCCCCTCTGCACCTTTTATTCAATCAACACACACTTGAGTATTCTCTGTCCACTCTTGGCCTGGTGGTTTCCCAGGAATCCAAAGACATGCTTTTCTTCTAAGAATATCTTCTGTCTCTCTTGTCTCTTTGCTTTGGTACCCAAGGTTTAAAAACAGAAGTCTAGAGCTAGGGAGCATGTGGAAGATCCCCCTGTTGAAGATGATGTTAGATTTGGACTTTGAAGATGGTAAACATGAAACCTGTGATTTGACAGCAATGTCTAGCTCCCGAGGCGTTTCCACTCGTAACACCTGAACTGCAAAGGCAGATGGGTAAGCCAAAGATCCAGGCAAGTGTGTAAGGCCCTCAGACCTGGATTTTGGCTTCAACCAGATTTCTATACAACTGGCCATGTTCTCAAACCTCTCTACAAAGGGGGGGGACATCACTCGATCTTTAGATTGCTCACTTTAATCAGAGTGGATGTATGCGTACAATGCTGTCTGTCTAGAGCGTCTGCATTTTACAGAGATATATAAACAAACATTCTTCATTCACATTGATCAAAAAGAAAACACAATGGACCCATTTTCTGTGTAAATATATGGCCGGAAGTGAGTGTGCATGCGGTTTGTGCTTTGACACACGCAAGTATACCGTAATCCACTGAGTAAAAGCTCTGTTGCATCTGTTTCCTGGGTGATGATCCATATAAAACCTAAATAAATAAAGTTGGCTTCGGCAGGGCCTCCTGCTCTTTGATTCTGGAGTCAAAATGCTGAGGCCTGTGGCTCTGCAATTCCAGGCACCAGGATGGAAGGAACAGGAGGAGTCACTACAGAATTCCACTGATCCATGGCCCTGGGGACGGCTCAGTGACTGTCCTCTGGGGCTGTGTGGCAGCATGTAACCTCCTTGAGAAGCAGCTACGTGTGAGGGAGCTGCAGGGCCGATGCAGTGTGAGCGTATCCCGCCCTGACGCCACCAAGCAGAGCAGGAACTACCGAGGCCCTTCCCCATCTTCTCTCCTGCTATTCTTGTGCCATCTTGTCCCCAGTGTACTTGCTCTGCTTCCATTTCCCTTCCAGAACCTTCCATTTGAATGTTGCTTGAATATCAACCACCAATGTGGTAAGCTGGAAAGAGCCTGCGGCAAGTCCTGTCTGGGCTCAGACCTTGGGGTGTGAATCCGTGGACGCCCTGTTTCTCTGCTCCGAGCCTTGGCTTCTTCCTGTGTCAAAGGCAATGGTAATGATACACCTTTGCCCCAGCCTCCAAGTGTCTGGCTCTTGGCATGGGGATGTGTGTGCACCCACTTCACAAGCATGATGATGCTACAGTCCCTGGAAGAACCCAGTATCAGCCGTAGGAAGATGCCTAGCAAGTGTGGAAGAGTGATAGGGGAGAGCAGGCTGCAGGGATCTGGCAACAGCCCCTGCAGGCTGAGCACCACACCCAGCATGCAGTGGGCACTCACAAGGAGGGCAGTAAAGGAGGGCCATGCCACACAGGGTCCCCAGCCCTACTTATCAAGATACACCCCCAAGACCCTAGCCCTGCCTCTTAGGACCTGCCCAGTCTAGAACAGCTACATGAGGACCCCAACCCCGCCTGTCAGGGTCCACTCCAGGACCCCAGATCTGCCTGTCAGGATCCACCCCAGGACGGTCCTGCCTATCAGGAATCTACCCCCAAAATCCCAGTCCTGTCAGGTTCTATCCCAGAATTTCAGCCCTGCCTGTCAGGATCCACCCCAGGACCCTAGCCCTGCCTCTCAGAATCTGCCCTGGCCCAAGACCTGGGATACTGAAAGATGCCCCAGATCCTCAAGCAAAAATCTGCCACTGCCAATGTTCACTGAGACTCATCCAAAATCCGGCATGATCTGGCAGCTCTCAGCCAGGACGTGTGGCTGGCTGCCTTTAGGATCCACAGACCCTGGCTGGCTTGTGAGCGTCACTCTTCATCTCTGGAGTCCGATGGGGACCAGCTCAGCTTTCCCTGATAGGACCTGCTGGACGGAAAATCAACCTGAACATGGAGAAAGTCCTGATAATATAGAGATGCCCCAACCGAGATAGGGAGGGCCACGAATGAAAAAACCCTGGATCAAGGCCGCCAGGCACATTCGTTTTATCGCTCGTGATTGAGGATTCATCATCTCCTTTGTTTAAACTGGCAATGGCCACCCAAGACGACTCCAGCTGAGGGAACTGTGTCCCCACAGTGGCCACCTGGGCTCATCCTGCCCTCCTTTGGAGGGGCGGCTGAGGCTGGCTAGTGCATGTCAGAGTTGACCTTGTCCTGGAAGATGTAAAGGTTGTTGGTGGCCGCAATGGCGATGATATTCTCGGCTGGATGCCAGGCTGTGTGCAGGATCTTCTTGGTGAAGTCCAAGCTATCCACACTGATGTCATCACGTCGTCGCTTGCCACCCACGCACACCCGCCGTGGCTTGAGCACAGCCCTGGGCTTACTGCTCTCCCTCGAGGCCTCCAGCGTCACGTCCCTCTTAGTATTGCGGTCAAACATGCGGAAGAAGTTGTTGTAGGCCCCCGTCATGATGACGCTGGTGAGAGAAGTAGAAGAATCAATTGGGGAGGACACGGGAGACAGGGCCACTCCAGAGCTGGGAGAGGAGCCACATCTGCCACTCTGCCACCTTCCTGTTGGGGTCTCTGTCCCCCCTTACATTTCAGTCACCTTCTCCACTTTAGGACCAAGAGCTGAGGCCTTCTCACGCTGCCCCAAAGCAGAGGCTCCCTCCTGTCTCTTGTACACAGCCCAGGAGAAGCGGCCCTAGCTTGCAGCCCCAGTGGTAGTAGGGATATAGGGGCCACACTGAGACACAACCACAGCTGCCCCAGGGCCTCGAACGTTCACTGTCCCAAACCACGTAGGTGAGACAAACACCTTGACAGGCAAGAGCACCCCTGATGTGAACCCTCTTGTCTCCTAACGGGAGGCCCTGCCTAGTGAGGCATGGGACAGGTTCCTCTGCATAGTACCTACAAAGTGGGCCTGGGACTAAAGGAAGGGCTTTGGGATTGGGCCTAGGGGAGGCTGGAGAAGTTGGGGGGGAGAAGGAAGGAGTTCTAGGAAGAAGCTGATTCCCACAGAGGGCACCAGTGGGCTCGAGCTATCCTAGTGGGTGATGGAGAGCAAAGGCCTACACCAGCCTTGTGTGTACAGAGCACAGGACACCACTGCCAAAGGACCCAAGACCTCGTGGGGGAAGGTGTCACACAGCCTGACATTGGCACATGGACTCATGAAACCATTTTCCAGAGGGCTGACCTAGAGGGTCCCAGCATTCCATCAGTCCCCAGATATAGAGTGAAAGATGGGGCCAGAGACAGAGGGGCCTATCCCTCCAAGCAAGGCTGTTGGGGGTGGGGATGTGGACACTACTGAGGGCCATCATGTCACAGTGACAGAGCTGGCCTCTGCTGACCCATTTATCAGGGGCTGTAAGCCCCTCTGTCCCAGCAGAGCAGACAAGCCTCCAGCTTGCCTTGTGGGTACACATGGGACAGGCGATTTGATTCTCCCCTCAGCCATGGGCTCCTGAGAGGCAGGTGTCAGAGGTCCCTGTACATGGACAGACTAAGCTCGAAAGAAGCCAGAGGCAGGAGAAAAGAGGAGCCTCCTCTTTACTGCCTAGAACCATGGCGGTCATTAAGTGGACACTCTTTGAGCAACCCCTCATTCCCAGGCATCCTCTTCAACTGGGAAGGCAAAAAGGACAGAGGCCATGAGAAAACTTAATAAATGGCAAGATACAGGACAAAGGCCCAGGAGGCTGCGGGGTAAGACAGAGAGAACCAGGGTGGCTTCCTGAAAGAGAAGGGGGGGGGAGGAGGGGGAGGGAAGAAGGAGAGGAGAAGGAGGAGGAGGAGGACGAGGAGGAACTGGCCCTGGGCTCAGGCACAGGCTGGTCACATGCTCCCTCTGGTGGCAACATGGAGGAAGTCCAGGTAGTGGGTAGCAAACTTTGAGCATCCAAATACTCTTTAAAGTTGGGTGGGAGTCACCTTTCTAGAATAAGTTCCTCATCTGTGATTCTACCAATCAGATCCAGGTGGATTGGATCTTCTGCTGGGAGGATCTGAGGCACCCTGTCTCCTGGGTGTGGGCAGCCTGAAGCTGGGCCTGAAGGTTTACCCTGTCTAAGGCCAGGGTTCCATCCTGCCTTCTCAGTGCTCTTCAGTGGATGCCCTGGGCCACTATGTTGGCCCCTGTGCTCATTGTGGTTCTGCTTGGAGCCCCTGCAAAACGGGGGGGGGGCGGCTTGAGACAACAGCTGTAGCTGTGGAGCTCCTGAACCCTGTGCCTTAGCCCCTATGTGGGGGCCATGCCTGCTTCAGGGCGCTCCCCCCCACTCCTTACAGCCTTAGCCCTAAGCACAGCCAGTTTTAAAATTTTTATTTCTATTGTATGTCAATGAGCATCTTGCCTGAATGCAGGTAAGTACACCATACACATGCAATGACTGTGGAGACCAGAAGAGCATGCTGAATCCCCTCAAAGTGGACTTATGGATGGTTCCTGGGCACCAGGTAGATACTGGGAATTGGACCTGGATCTTCTGTAAAAGCAGTCAGTGCCCTCTCTCCTGCCCAGACACATAGGGCAGGGAACAGTGGCCAGGAGCCAAACACTTTCTGCTTCCTAGGGACAGAAACACTGGGGTATAGCCCTCACTTGACAGTGCAGAGACTGGGGCACTTAAGCTCACCCTGACCCTACACTCCACAGCACCCTAGGACAGGGGCTCAAAGTGGACATTCACGTTGGTCCCTGGGGTGAAGAAAGGCTCACTTCCTGTCCCTGGACTTGAGTCTGAGAGTTCTTACTTGCTAGGCAGGGGAACTATTCCCACACCTCAACCAGGCAGAGTGCATCAGCCCAGACTGCATCTCCTGGTCACCAGTTGGCCTACAAGGAAGAGCCTCCTAGGGTTAGGGGTGAGGGATGAGGCTGGGTGCCTGAGGCTGGGTGCCAGGCAGGGTGCCCAAGGCTGGCTCACCTGTCACTCCCATTCCAGGCACACTCAAACTTGTCAAAGATGCAGTCACTCTCATACAGGGAGCAGAGCTTGCTCCGAAGGTAGTCATGGACCTAGTGAGAGGAAGAGATGAGCTGAGTAATGGATACCCAATGACCCTCCCACATCCACAGGACAGATGGTCCTGGGATGGCCCTGTGCACACAGCTGATCTGGAGCTGTGGGCCATGGGGACCAGCACCAGGGAGCAGCATTCACAGGGGCAAGGGAACAGTCACAGCTCAGGGACCAGGACCTTCCTGTGGGTCCAGGGCCTAGCTCTGCTGAGCCCCTCTCCCCCAACCCTTCCACCCTCACTATGTGATCCTGAACCAGCAACTTCCCCTCTGAGCCTCTGTTTCTTGATCTTCAGAGTGCTAAGCTCAAAGCCCCAGATTATCCTTAGACAGTGCTGGGTGTGGTCATGCTTCTTGGGAAACACAGCCATCACTATGAACAAACGCAACCCTCACACAGAGAAGGAGGGAGCCTCGCACAGCTCCCCGAGTATTACCTAGGTAGGCGTCATCTATCCCCAAGGTAATGTACCAAGGCTCAGAGAGGTAAAATAACTGACCTGAGGTCACACAGATATGACACAGCCCTTAACAGGATTTTCCAGGGGAGATGGAGAAAATTGCACTCCCTATCCACCTGACAGCAATCCATTGTACAGGGCTGGGCGCATGCCCAGTCCTCTAAGGGGCCTGGGGCTCTGAAGATGGGGACACTGACTCTAGCGGGCTGGGGGCAAGCGATCCCGTAGCAGGAAATTTGGTTTCAACTCTTAGCAGTATGACTAGGGAGGGAGGGAGGACAACTAACAGAATGTGACAGCCCATGTGTGACAGCCCGTGCGGTGTTTAGTTTTATCCATCAGCTAAGCTGGGCCAAAGTATCCAGATAATTTGGTCAAACATTATTCTAGATGTTTTTGTGATCATAATTTTAAAATAAGGTTTGCACTTAAGTCTGTGAACTTTTAGTAATGCAGATTCTACCTCACTGTGTGGGTGGACCTTATCTGATTAACTGAGAGACTGCATAGATAAAGACTGGTCCCAAGAGGCCTTTGGGCTTAGTCTGCCTCTCCTCCCTGGGTCTCCACTGAGTCAACCCCCTAAAGTCAATGTCGCCTGCCCCCATCCTGTCTCTGTTTCTCTAGACGGCCCTACCAACACAGATAGGGCTGTATAGGCCTGCCCTCACCAGTGAGGTAGGAAATAGTCGTCATTGCTGTCTGCAGTCTGGGGGTCCACTCCTCCTGCCCCAGACCTCAGCTCATATCCTCACCATGCTGGGTCACCATCACCACAGTCCCACCTACTGAGACCCAAGTGGGCGAGACCAAGGCTCCACCCCTTTCTGGTCCCCAGCATCTAGAACTGCATGAGACACATGTACTGACCCAAACCAAAGGAACTCATGGAGTTGCTTACCCACCAGAAGGTGGGCTTCACGTGGTCCTTGTCTCCTTAACTAGACACAGGAGTCCTGTGCACACAACCAAGCACGGATGTGACCAGTTCTGTCACGCCATCTCCAATGGAGCCCACGTGAGATCCTCCGTGGGTTGAGGCTGGAACTTCAAGGAAGGTTGCCTCTTGGAGTTGGTTGTGTTGAGAAACATGCAGTGTACTTGGCATGCTTTACTTGCTATTATTTTTCTAACTGTTACTGTATCTTGGACCTTCTGGAAAGCACCTGGTGTCCTTGGCACCACTATCACCACCTTTATTAAGATGAAATAGTTATGTTTATAAGTCCCATACTTGGAAGGATTTCATGAGAGCTACAGGATTAGAATAGGATATTGATGTAACTTGGGGTTTGGAACATATTAATGAATAAGGAAAAATAAAAGGCAGATATATAGCAACATTGTTGTGAATCACCTAGAATTCAAATAGAAACATTAATAATTACAGAGCTAGTATTAAAAGTACAATAGAGGTTTGAGGTCAGCTCACCGGGTAACCACAAAACATAAAGGTCTCTAATGTGACTCACCAAGATGAAAAACAGAAACTTTCTGTTTAGTGCTAGTTAATGTTTGACAATGTATTGTTCACCTGTGTTTCACTTTTGTCTCCGGAATCAGAACTCTTAAGAAAAATGATTAAACCGCAAAACAATGGCTTATTGATGTAATTATGGAACTTTGTATTTTATAATCTGAGCTCTGTAGCTGCAAAATTACACTCAGACTTTCATCAAGCTCCTTTGCGTCTGTTTGTCACTAGCCGACTCCTTGTCCACCCTCTCGACGACCCTGTTCCCATCGGACTGAACTGCCCCGGTCTGGGCTGGTCCGTTGCACAGTTCTCCTCTGGTATACCAAGTCTCTCCTGCCCACTGGTGGCAGGAAGAGGAAGCTCTTTGGCTTCAGGGAAAAGTGAGCACCAGGCTCAGGTCCCTCCTCACTAGAGCTATCATGAAGGGTGCCAATAGTTTATGGGCCCAAGGTCTTCAAGTGATATGGGATACAGATGATGACAAGGGCTGGAGGGCCAATCACTGTTCCTGGCCATCTCTAAGACCGAGGAAGATAGTTCATTTGTTAGGCACTGCAAGTCTGCCAAACACAATTGCACTAAATGAAATTCCTAGGACACACAAGTCACCCCAACACCTGAGCCACTGAAGTCATTATTATTACTATTTTAGGATCTTTAGATCAGCTGGTAGAGAAGTAAGCATCCAGCCCAGAGCAGTGACCCTCTACTTCAACAGGTCTCCACAGGTTTTGAGAGGCTCTGAAGGCTCCATGCCCCTCACTAAAATAATCTGCACCAGTTGGCACACATCTCCTGGGCCTGTGCTGACCGCAATGTCACAATGGCTTCAGGGGACTGGAAAGGCACTGACTCGGTCACTTCACAGCTTGTGCAGGGTTCACTGTCCCCCGCCTCAATCTAGGGCAATTGCCATTTCCAGAGTGTGCAGGGCAGGACCTGGAGAAGGGTGCTACAGGCCCTGCCCACCATCAACAAAGGACGTTAGCACGTGAAGCCTGGGGGGCCTGGAGCTTCCTTCCAGGGGTTCTACTTCCAGGACCTGCCCCACCCAGGGTAGGAGCACCCAGTTTTGAATCTACCACTGCCAGGCTGAGACCTGTTCACTCCCCAGCTTCCCAGTCTTGGTCTGCAGAACAGGAAGTCAGTACCCTCTTCAGTAGAAAAAAATAAGAACAGGTGATAGTCAGGTGTGTGGATGCACTTACCCTCCCTCCAGGTGAGGCTAGAGTTTCTGGTAGCACGCTTGTACCCAAATCTGCCAACCCAAATTCTAGGCCTCCTTCTAGGCCCAGCACAAGAATGATACTGGGGAAGCCCTGGCCAGACATAACAAGCCACTCTGAACTGTACAGAATCTTTGTCCTGTATCCCACCATGAAGAACCTGGCAGAGTAATGAATGGACCTTTCCCCAGAAACACCCAGTGTTCCACTTAGCACACCAGCTCTAAAGGCTGTGCTGAGAAATGACATCTCCCTCCTGCGCCACCACTGAACGCAATTCACAGATGCTCATAGGAGAGGCAGGCTTACTCACTCACTTACAGGTAAGGTTGCAAGTTCTGGGGTGGGGGGCACCTGCACCCTGATCTCAGGCCCAACCTTATGACTGTTTTTGTTCCTGATTCCCTCCCCTCCTGGAAACCGTGGTTCTGGATGTGGTTGGCAGCCCCATGCAGGGGCCTCCTCAGCCGCCCGGGAGACTGGACCGTGCAGTCTCTCTGAAGCTTTACCCACAATATGTCATTGAAAGCCCCATGGCCGGGCAAGCCCTGTGCAGGGTTGTCAGCACAGGGAAGCCGGGTCCCTGGAGATCTCACACAACACGGAGGGCACCAAGGCCTCCAGACCGCTGCACGCACCTGGTAGGTCTCTATGGGTCTTGCCTCCATGTTCAGATCCCAGACCTTGACCGTGAGGTAATCCCTCGTGAGCATGTAACGGCCACTGTGGCTGAACTTCACGTCGGACACCGAAGAGATGATCTCTGAGAAGAAGGAGCGGTTGCTGGGGTCCTCGGGCTCTTCAAAGACTGAGGAGAAATAATTGGTGACTGTCACTGGCTGCCCTTGCCTAGGTCAGAACCTGCTCCTGCCTGGGCTCAGCTGTCTATCTGTACTATCTATCACTCATTCATTCAGCAAACCTTTCCCTAAACACTCACTAAACTTTGGGCCCTAAGGGACCCTGCAAAGAGAAGGAGCCAGCTCCTGGAAGGGCTCCCTTATAGGAACTGTGTTTACTGAGTTTACTGAGTAGTCAGATTCTGTGTTTGCTGAGTTTACTGAGTAGTCGGATTCTGTGTTATGTATGACCTTGTCTAATACCCCAACATAAACTTCAGGGTGGTACCCTAATTATCCCCATTTTATAGCCAAGAAAACTAATACCAACAGCTGTTCCCACATGCAGATCTCAGAGTTAAGTAAAAGTGGAAGATTTGAATCCAGAACTGTGCTGGTTGCACACCCTCTATTGCCCCTATTGGCAATACCAGGCTGCAAAGCAACTTGACAATCTTTTAAAGTGCTGGGCATTATATATTCCAGGATCCGGCCCTAATATGGCTCTGGCACTAACTGGTCCTGGAACCTCAGGTCAGGCACAGCCTCTGTTCATGCATAGCGGACACCTGTGGTAGGTAAGCCCACGGTGGCAGAGCAGGTGGTAATGAAGACTCCTGTTGGGCCCAGCATTAACTCCTGGGCTCTGTGGGAAAGAAGATGGGTACAGCTGGTACCAGTCACCAGCTAAGCATTTCATACCTGGCCGCTGTCCTGAGGGAAACTGCTCAGTGGTGGTCCTGTCTCCTGCCCTGCTGGAAGCAAAGAGCTGGCTACTACTGGGAGGAGCAGGACAGCCCCTACCTAAGGGCCCCTCAGGATCACAGGTGTCATGCCCTGCTTTCCAAGGTGTGCTGTCCCTTTGCAGCTCATCTGAGACCTGCCAATCCCTCCTGCTCAGGACACTGGGGTGCTGGTGAGTGACATGAAACCCTTGCTCCCCAAAGCCAGAACTGGCAAAAGACCAACGAAACCAAGTGATGTGCTGTCCCACCAGGCAGGGATAAGTGCAGGAGGGAAGATGAAGGTGACCCACCCTGGGGACCTGGCCTGAGTCCTGCCTCCCCTCCCAAGTTTGACCCTGCCCCTCACAGGCCCTTCTAAGCACACAAACTTCCCAAGGAGAGAAGATTGGGAAGGAAGGAGGAGACACCATGCAAAGAGAAGAGCAGGGCCAGGAGGAAGAGGCCGGTCCTCAGGCCCCAGTGGTGGCCCAACCTGGAAGGGCTGAGCTGGGTGTGTTCCACATGCAGGAGATGGTAGGGATGAGACCTGTACTCTCATCCTCCCTCCTTACCTTGATGCCTCCTCTCTGGGCTCCCCTGAGGGTGACAGCCAGTGGAGGCAGGACATATAGGGCTGGGCCACAAGGAATGCCATGCCCCTGGGCAGTGGGAGCTCAGGCGGCCAGGTCCCCTATCTGAAGAGAGTGAGGCCTCAGGAACCACCTTAGCCTCTGACACACAGAGCTCCTGACTCACCATCTCGCATGAGAGTTCAGATTCTGATGACAGCTGATTGTCACCTGTAGGTGTATCTGTAACCCTTGGGGTCCCTGCTCCCTCAGTCCCTGGGCTAAGGTGACACTTTTCATGTCTGGTTCTTACCTTCAAATACTGAGGGTCTGTGTCACCTGTGAGAGGACCATGAGGCAGGCAGACTGAAAATAACCCAGGCTGCCACAGAGTCTCAGCAGGGACCTGGTTGGCTCCCGCCTGCATCAAGGCCTCCTACTCCAACCCCCAGGACAGTGGCAGGGTCCCCTCTAGAGGCGGAACATGAAGTTGAGCACACAAACCAAAATCAGATCATCCTTGGTCCTGACTTTAGGCATGGCTTTCGTACCCTGGACCACCCAGGGGTATCTTCTAGCCAGACTCCTCCTAGACCTCCAGGGCTAACCCATGTTCCCAACATGCCTTGCAGGGGTTGGTGGTCTCCTCAGGGACAGAGAAGGCAGGAGGCCAGTGTGATTTGAGTGAGAAATGTCTACTACAGGCTTGAACATTTGAACACTTGTTATCTGGGCCCAGTTGGTAGCCCTGTTTGATACGGTCATGAAATCTCCAGGAGGGGTAGCCTTGCCAGAGGAAGCACATCACTGGGGGAGGACTTTGAGAGCTCACAGCGTCACCCTAATTCTAGTTCTCTCTCTGTTTCCCAGCTGTAGGTGAAGATGTGAGCTCTCGCTTTGGGCTCCTGTTGCCCCACTTCCCCATCATGATAGACTCTCAGCCTCTGGACATCAGCCCAGTTAGCCCCTCCTACAGCAGGACTGGGTTTATGTCTCTCAGGGCATAATGTCAGGACGGCATCCATCCCATGCAATGTCACTGTTGAGGAGGGACCTCCTGCTGGCCATGCACGGTGGCAGGGAGGGGCAGCAGGCACAATACTCACTAATTCAGGTCTTACAACTGTCACCTCCTACTCACACCACATACAACTGATCCCCATGAGACAAGTGAAATCTGCCCCCAGTGGCAGCTGCGGCCGGAATACTGTCTTTGCTTCTGTGCCCTAGAGCCCCCATCTCTAGCCACACTTTCCCTCACACCACAGCTGCAGGGGGCACTCTCCATGGGCCTCGCTCCCCAGGCTTGCCCTTCCAGGGGCTTCTCACCACCTCGTCGGTCAAGACAACTATTGGTAATCTTGGGATGGGGGTGGGCCTGGGTCATGGAGTGCTCACCGAGGCTCGGGGCAGAAAGATGTGGGATGAGGGTTGCAGAGGTGGGAGTGACACACACAGAAGACACTGGGCGCGAGCAGAGGGGTCCAGTGTCATTGGCACATGGAAAGGACAAGGGAGCAGGTATTCCTGGAGCCTTCAGAAGGACCAGCCTTGTCCACACCCTGCCTCTCAGCCTCCAACCTCCATAACTGTACAAAACACACGTGCTGTTTTAAGCCACAGAGAAGAGAGCACTTGTGGCTCCAGGGTAACTTCTTGCAGCTGCAGAGGAAGGTAGCACGCTGGCGTCCTCCTCTGCCAGGGCCTCCCATGGCTCCACCCTGGGAGGCTCTGGGGATTGCATGACAACCTCAAAAGGCTCAGCAGGTTAACCCCATTATTTGACTGAGTCTATTACCAGAGTCTCATAATGGTGAACCATCATTTCCATCCATTCCAAGTCAACCTGGTGGTCTAGGCTCAGGCCCTCCTTCCCCAAGACTCTGTTGTCAAAAGAAATAACTGTCTATTTTGAGGACTCATGGACGGTTGTTTCCATGGTTACTCTGTCACGATGCCTAGCAGACAAGGACCTGGGTTTCTAGTGTTTCTGGGAAATATAAAGCCATGGATTGAAGAACAGGGCAGCCAGTATGCCCCAGCCCAGCTGGTGCAGACAGGTCTGGGGAGCTACTGTGTGTGCTTCTCAGACCCCCGACCCCCTCATCTATCCAGTGGTAGGAGTGAGCACATAATGTGCAAAAGATGGCTCTCTTCAGTGGACAGAAAACCAAAGAGTCATCCCATCAGGAAAAGGATGCTGTGGGCGGGATCCTGGGGAGTCACTGCCAAACATGCCCTGGCTTTTAAATGATACAAGTAGAAGACAAAGAACTAGTTTAAGTGCCAGGGCTCTAACACGGGTGTAACTAGAATAAGACCTGTAGGTTATTAACAACAGCTACCATCTGCCAATCAGTACCAGAACTAAGAACACACACAGTCTGGCCAAGGCATGCAGGGACAAGGGCAGGGACAGAGATCCTTGTAGCAGCATGGGGGTGGGGCTGGGGGTGGTTTGGTAACAGAACACTCATCAGACATCTAGCATGGTCCATGCCTTGGGGTCTATCGATCCCCATCCCCTTGGGAAGGGGAATTGAGGGGAGGGTCAAGAAGAGGAGATTGATTGATTGATTGATTGATTGGTTGATTGATTGATTCTGAATAGAGTACTTAAAGGATAAGGAAGAAATCTAGAAAAATTTAAAATATAGTATTAACTCCAAAAGAAAACCTGTATGAATCACTGTGATTCTTAATACTGTGAATACTCAACAGGATCTAGAATCACTTAAAGACAAGCCTCCAGGCACAACTGTGAGATGTCTGATCAGGTCAGCTTCCAGGCTACCTGTAAGAGATTATCTTAATTAGGTCCACTGAGGTGGAAGAGCCACCAGGGTCAAGAAGAGGAGATTGATTGATTGATTGGTTGATTGATTGATTCTGAATAGAGTACTTAAAGGATAAGGAAGAAATCTAGAAAAATTTAAAATATAGTATTAACTCCAAAAGAAAACCTGTATGAATCACTGTGATTCTTAATACTGTGAATACTCAACAGGATCTAGAATCACTTAAAGACAAGCCTCCAGGCACAACTGTGAGATGTCTGATCAGGTCAGCTTCCAGGCTACCTGTAAGAGATTATCTTAATTAGGTCCACTGAGGTGGAAGAGCCACCCTTAGAGCAGATGGTTCCCTAAGCATGGGTCCTGGGCTGTTTAAAAAGGAGGTTGGATGGGGACCATAGTCATTGCTTCTTGACTGTAAGAGGCCATGTGACCAGTTGCCTCAGGCTCCTGTTACCACGATTTCCTCACCATGAAAGACTATAACCTTGAACTATAAGCCAACTTTCTCCCTTAACTCCCTTTTGTCAGGGTACTTTATCACAGCAACAGGAAAAGAAACTAATTCAGAAAATTGGTACCTTCCTGGTGAGGCATTGCTGTGATAAACCTGCCTGCATGGTTCTTAGGCCTTTGGACTTAGGTTGTAGGAGGAATGTGGAAGAGTCTGGAACACTGGGCTAGAAAAGTCCCTGAAGCTGCAAACAAAGCCTGATGGGCCATTCTGGGGGGAACCTGCAGACTAGAACACCAAGAGAAGTGTGGCCCCCCAGCTCATTAAGATTCAGAAGGACTCCATAAGGAACTGGGCTAGAGGTCAATTCATGTGATTTTTTTTTTTTTTTTGTCGTTTTGAGACAGGGTCTCCCTGTAGCCTAGCTGTCCTAGAACTCACTATATAGACCAGGCTGGCCTGGAACTCCCAGAGATCCACCTGCCTCAGCCTCCTGAGTGCTGGGATTAAAGGCATGTGCTACCACATCTGGTGATAGTCATGTGATTTTTTAAAATATATTTTGTTATTTTTATTTTATGTGTACAAGTGTATTGTCATGTGATATTTTAACCAAGAATTTGGCTTTGTTCTGCCCAAGTCCTGAGAACTTGAATAAAGTTGAATTAAACATAATGGATGACTTGTTTGGTGGAAAAGCTTTCAAGACAGAAGAGCATTCAGGCTGTGGCATGGCTACATCTACTGCTCTTGTGTTGGTCAACAGAGGGAAAAAAGGGGGGCAGCAAGTTGGGCATAAAGATATAAACAATGTGCAATTTGTTCAGGAGGAAAAGAACTGATGCAAGTTAAAAGTTGAGGCCAAGGTAGACGCTGAAAAAGAGGGCTGTGACTGTTAGAGCAACTTCCTGCTCTGCACTGGAATAACAGGAAACTGGCCCTCAGGTCAAGACCCACCCATCAAAGGCTATACCTTGTGAAAATGCAAACCTATCTGGAAGGAAAGAGCTTCAAAAACGCCTGCCCAGGAGAGTATTTTCCAACATGCAAAAGCTGATACAGCTGTGATCCAAGGGGGCCAGGCAACATTTCAAGCTGGCAACAGAACTTGGCAGCATCATCGCATAGTTCTGGTTTTGCAGGCATGATTGATGCGACAGTGAGGAGTCATGGAAGCTTGTACAAGGTTCCAGAAAGCTCCTGAGGCCAGGCAACATGTGGCAGCATTGGCGTCCCTGCCAGGGGGCCCCAATGGTCACTGTGTCAGAAGGTAAAGTCTAGGTTGCAATAGAGACCTGAAGATATTGGAGATGCCAAGACCATAGAATGTCCACTGAAGCTGCAGGCCTGGATCGGAGCTGGTCTAAGAGACAGGCTCTGTGCTGAGGGTGGCAGAGCTGGGTGGGTGGGGCTATTTAAGCTCTTTGCTACCCTGTTGATTCCATCAAGATGCTGGACATAGAGCTATAGGATTTGGTGTTTTCCGTATTGGAGTTTGATCTTGCTTTGGTCTGGTTATTCCTTACTGTGATCCATTCTTCCATTTTGGAATAGGAATGCTTTACTCCATGCAATTGTATGTTGGAAGCATATAAATTATTACTTTATAGGCAATCAAGGAGGTTGCTGCTGTTTCAATCTCTTCACCTGGGCCTCATGGGCACCCCCTGGTGGACTCTAGAATAGGAAGTGAGCTCCAAAGAGCGCACAGGTTGAGGGTTGAGAGGGCAGCAGCATGGGAAGTTCAACAGTGCCACCAGGTCAATGTGGGAAGGAAGCTTTGGGAGTCTGGGGGTAAAAGGAAGATCCTGACACAATGTGAAAGTTGGGGAAGGCTTCCTGGAAGAGGTAGCTCAAAGTTGAGTACTTCCTGTACTTCTAAGTCTCCTGGCCCTCATTCCTGGCTGTGTGGGGGTCTCCTGATGGCTGCAAGAGGTCCTCCCTGTCAGTACCTGTGCCCACCTGCCAGTCCCAACACGTCCAGTCCCTGCCCACCCACTCCAGGGTAGACACTTACGCTTGGAGTGCTTGTCACACAGGGCGGCAGCCCGCATGTCGCAGAGCCGCAGAGAGCCCTTGCTGCTACTGTAGACAAAGAGGTTGCAGTGGTGGGGGTGGAACTCAGATGCTGTGATCACCTCGGTGAGGTCCTCCATGTTGGCTGGCTTGATGTCCACAATATCTGGGGTGGTGAGGTCAAGGATGGACAGTGAAGTGCTCTAGCATTCTGCCTCCAGGAGGCCCCTAACATCTCTCCCACAAAGATCCTACCAGGCCTGAACAGCCCCTCTGGTTTCAAGACCCTGTGACAAACATCCAGGTCCCTAGTCCCCCAAGTCACAGCTTCTCATAAAACACAGCTGGCCAGCAACCATTCCCAGTGCCTGTCTACCAGCCCTGCAAAGCTGAACCCTCAACCTCTCACAAGAGTGCCTTCCAGCTGCCCAGCTCTGCAGCAACTGTAGGCTTTTCCCCATGGTCCACCTTCCCCTATCAGTAGCCAAGCAGAAGACAAGGCATGTTGATTGTGCATGTGACAGTCAGAATGTGAACTGCCCCCCTCAGGCTGATGTGTGGGGTGCATGTTACCCAGCTGGTGGTGCCACTATGGGAGGCTGTGCAACTTTTAGAAGTGGGTCACTGGGGTAGGCCTTTGAAGGGAACACCAGCTCCTAGTTTTTTCCTCACTCGCTGTCTCCTGGTCCACACTGCTGTGAACAGCCTCCACACATAACCCCACTGCATGAACTGTGCTGCTCCACCATGAGGGTTGTTAGGGCTCAGATCTAAGGCAACCCCCTCCCCAAAGCAACAGGGCCTCATGGTTTTGAAAGTTCTCTGGAATTACAGGAACTGAGTTAATGAGCACCCTGACTGCCTGCAGACAAGAGAAACAGACTCCCTACACCTATGACCCAAGACCCAATTGCTACAAGAGCTGTTCCGGCACAGCTTGCTTCCCCTTTGATAATCATAGAAGACAAACCAGCCCTTGCACCTCAGACCCACTGACGTAGGAGCTGTCTCACTACAAGCTCCTTCCCCCTGATAAGTTTCACAATGTATAGACCCCTTATCCCATGACCCAGATCCTGGCTGACGGAAGGGGCAGAAGGGGGAGGTTTGATAGAGGATATTCTCTCCTGATAAACCCTGGGCTCTCTTCCCCACCTAACTTTTTTTTTGTTTTAATATATGAAAATCTCTGCATGACCACCAAATAAATAGGTTATTAGAATTTTGGGGTCCCATCTGGGTTGACAATATGAAATGGGGAGAAAGAGGGTCCCCTAGAGGATTCCTAGTCTCGTTCATAAAAGAATTTAAGAATGGATCCAAATGGAAGCTTTTACAACTTTATTAGAATCTTTTTTAAAATTTTATTATTTTTATTTTATGTGTATGAATGTATTGCCTGCATGTATGTGAGTGCACCTGTGTCGTGCAATGCCGCAGAGGTCAGAAGAGGGCATCAGATTCCCCTGGAACTGGAGTTAAGGGCAGTCCATAGCTGCCATGTGGGTCCTGGGAATTGAACCCAGCTCCTCTGCAAAAGCAGTCAGTGCTCTTAACCGCTGAGCCATCTCTCCAGCCCCTAACTTGTTTTTTTAAAAAATATTTTCCCACCTTCCACATCCCCAAAACCCCCTATAAAAGCCCCCAGCCAACAGCCTGTAAAATGACAGCTCCTCTATCCCAAACTGGGGACTGTCCCGTGTGTTTTCCCTGCCAGTAAACTCTATCCTGCCAGAGTTCTTGTCTGTGTCCTGCTGCTGTCTCCTGATTTGGACTCTGTGCTGGATAGCTTTAGTGTCAACTTGACACACCTGGGTTGAGGGAACCTCAATTGGGGAATTTCCTCTATTGGACTGGCCTGTGGCCACGCCTGAGGGGCATCTTCTTGATGAGTGATGTGGAAGGGCCCAGCCCACTGTGGGTTGTGCCACCCCTGGGCAGGTGGGCCTGTATTGCATAAGAAAGCAGGAGGCTGAGCAGGGACCAGGGGAGCAAGCCAGTAAGCAGCATTCCTCCATGGCCTGTGCTCCAGCTCCTGCCTCCAGGTTCCTGCCCTGAGTTTCTACCTTGGGCTCCCTGATGAACTGTGACCTGGAAGATGTAAGGTAAAATAAACACTCCCCCCCCCAAGTTGGTATTGGTCAGAGTGTTTTGTCACAGCAATGGAGAAACAAACTAGGACAGACTCGATTTACCTATCATATGGTGCTGAAACCCGGCCAAGACCCCCAAGACCTGCAATCATTTGGGATTCACACATAAAGAACTCTGACTGGACCTGGCTGCTGCTACCCGCCCCTACAAACATCACTGATTCAGCTTTGAGATACATCCCAACTCTCTCTCTCTCTCTCTCTCTCTCTCTCTCTCTCTCTCTCTCTCCCTCCCTCCCCCTTTTTCCTCATGGCCACTGTGATTCCTTCCCTGCTACTCTGGAGCACACTCTGCTTTTCTTTCATTTCTCTCCTGCTCCTCTACATCTTTAGATTTCCTTTCAGTTGGATTTGGAGGTCACTCCCAGACCTGACTGAAGGCCACTGGGAACCACTGGTCTCCAAGACCACTGAGTGTCCGGGATGGTTACTGTGCCTGTCCAAGCCCAACCGAGGGGTGGACCTACCCTTCCATCGCTCTCAAACCCATTGTCTGGCCTCTTGTCTTGAGGTCATATTGGTGTCCTGTGTAGCCCTTTTGAGCTTTGCCTCCACAGTCCAGAGTCCCTCTCTTCTGCCTTCACTGGGATTCCGGAGGAAGCCAACCCTACAAAGGAACGGGATTGACCTGAAAAGGTGGGTCCTAAGGCCGGGTACCTGGGAGGGCAGACTCTGGAAGTCTCTGCTCTCCTCCTTTCTCTCTTGCAGCCTCTCATTGAGCCTCAGGCTCCCTCTCTCTCTCTCTCTCTCCCTTTCCTCACGACTTCACTTCGCTTTCTCATGCTCTGCAATTCAGAGCCCCTCTCTTTCTCTCACTCCCACCCTCCTCCTCTCCCCCCCCCTTCTCTTGTCTCTCTCATTTCCCTTCCTTCTAACTCCACACATCTGTTTTCCCTTGTACATTCCTTGTACTTTTGTCTCCCTCGACTGGCTGGTCATGCCACGCTCTCATCGCAGGGCTTTCCACTCATCTTGTGCTCGCCTCGAAAATCACACTAGTGTGTTGGAAAGTCCTTTCCTTTCTCTGGGTACGGGACGCCGTTCCCAGGGATAGGAACACGCACCCCTTCCTGTCCAGGACAGGAACTTGCCTTTTCCCTCCCTGGTGATCTGATTGCAGGATGCTGCCTCCAGGGATTGTTAAAACTCAGGTCATTCCTGGGCAAGGACGTTTTCCTTGGTGATTGGTTCTCCACGTTCTTTCCCCCTCCTCCTCCTTCCCGTCCTTCTCTCCTTATATCCTGAGCTTTCCTGCCTGGACTCTTAGCTGCCATCCCTGCCTCCACTCCCCGTGGAGAGAGGATCCTCACTGTCTCCTACTTGCTCAGTTCCTTCTCTATCTCCTCTGTGCTCCATATGTAATCTGTCCCTATGGGGACCACTCAGTCCAATTCTGAGGAAATCATGCCTCTTGCTTATCATCTTAAATCCTTAAAACAACTAGGACTTTCAGATACAATCGGGCCAAAGCTCTTAAAGTTCCTGTGCACCACTGCCTGGCCCCCGTACAAGTCAGATAATGACTCCGTTTGTCCAGACACTGACCCTGGAAGCTTAGACATCAATATTTTGAGAGATTTAGATAATTTTTGCCAACATACTGGCAAAAGGTCGGAGCTCCCTTATGTCCAGCTTTTTTTTTTTTTTTTTGATCTCCATGCTAGTCCCTCCCTCTGTGCTTCTTGTTTCTCTCATCAAATTCTCCTAGCCAAGACTGTTTCACAGGACCCCAACCCACTGGTTCCTATCCCCTTGGGGGCCTCTGTTCAGTAGGACTCAACCTCAATCCCTCCGTGTCCCTAGCACCTTGCATTCACTTTTTCCTCTAAAGCTTCCTTCTCCCAGCCAAGTGGCTGCGCATCAGCCGCCTGTCTGACCTCCCACATCTGAACTCTCAGGCAGGCTCTAATCCTGCATGGCTCCAGGGCTTTCTTTCCTTCTTCCCACTATTCACCTCCTCAAGGCAGCTGCCAAGATGACCAGCTTGCCTGCCCTGGGGATTTTTCTTTAAGATTCTAATAAAATTGTACAGGGCTGGAAAGATGGCTCAGGGGTTAAGAGCACTGACTGCTCTCGTAGAGGACCCTGGTTCAATTCCCAGCACCCACATGGCGGCTACAAACCGTCCTTAACTTCAGTTCCAGGGGAATCTGACGCCCTCTTCTGACCTCTGCGGCAGTGCATGACATGGGTGCACTTACATACATGCAGGCAATACACTCATACACATAAAATAAAAATAATAAAAAATTTTTTTAAAGATTCTAGTAAAATTGTAAAAGCTTCCATTTGGGTCCATTTTTAAATTCTTTTATGAATGAGACTAAGAACCCTCTAGGGGACCCTCTTTCTCCCCATTTCATATAGTCAACCCAGATAGGACCCCAAAATTCTAATAACCTATTTATTAAGCACACACTGAATTTATCCATTTTGCTGTCTTGCCTTGGGGCAACTCGGGCTTAGGCTGAAGAGGCTGGACTGCTTCGGTGGAACGTTTAAAGCATTTAAGGCAGCTTGACTCCTGGACAAATGGAAAAAAAGATTTTAAAAGCCTTTTCATTTCCTAAACTTTTTCTCAGGCAGAGGGGCTCAAAATTTTGATCTTGGGCACCAAACAAGCTGTGCTCAGACCATGTGGTCCTGAGGCACCTACTTTCCTAGCTGGATCTAAGTATTTTAAACTTCAGTGTCCGTGGAAAGTCACAGGCCATGCTTGGATGAGACATATGCTTTCAGAACAACAATCCAGTGATTTATGTGCTGGACATAGTGCCCTGTTCCTTCTGCTGCCTCACGAGTTTCTTTTCCAGGATAGCTTGTATCTAGGAATGAAGAGATCCGGAGAACTTTGCTTTGCATTCACAGCTACAATGGTTGGTGAGAGACATGGATTTCTATTTGGGATATATACATATATCTGAGGTTACTTTCTCCTTTTATATCAATCTAACTTAATTGGGGTGCTTTGTAAAAGTAAAAATGGTTCATTTAATCTGTGAGGCATGTGACT